GTCTTTTTTCAGTTTTGTGAGCTGAATTTAGTTAATGCTAGTCAGCTAATCCTACATCAATCATACTTTTGGCTTAAAGCATTCGTCCCTTTTTGTTATGTTTAAAATGTTTAGGGCAGATTTATGGCAGGTAAGCAACTGAAGTTGCTTTAGTATCTTAACACAAACAGCTGGACTAACGTTAGCGTTAGCTTTTTAGATAAATAGGGCTGTTTCAGGCTCAGGTGAAGGCTTTCATGAGCAACAGATGAAGAACTGATCTTTTGGCCTGAAGGTGAAGTTTTTCTGAGCAACACACAATTTATTTTGCCTCCAAATAATGAGCTGAATCAATGCTAGTCAGCTAATGCTAGATCCTTTATGCTAGTTTTGGTTTAATGCATTTGCATTTGCATTTTAATGCTCTTTTTTTTTTTTGCTGTATTTTTACTTTTGGTAGACATGAACTTATAAACTGAGGTGACTCTGAAGCATCTCAACATGGACAGCTAGGTTAAGCAAACCGTTAGCTTTAGGTTTTTAAATAAATGTGGCTCTTTCAGGTTCAGGTTAAATGTTTCTAACCGTGCTAACAGAACAAGAATTAGGAGACGTTCTTTCCAGGGATACAGATTTTATTTTCTTTTTTTGAGCACTTTTTTGAAGAGGAACAGTTGTGTTAACTGCTAACTTTAGCAATTAATCCTATATTTACAGAAAATGTTGGTTTAATGTACTTGTCTGTTTTTGCTGTTTTTTAGAACATCATAATTGTCATATGAAAAGTCATATTTCACATGTGAAGAGTACAAAAACAAAATGTATTTACAAGTAATCACATGTCTTGTACGTTTTAACATGTGATCACACCTTTTTACATGTGACCACATGTGTTTACTCATATGTAAAAAAAAATGTGACTTCTGTGAGGGCAGATAAATCATGCTAATTTTGTTTTAATGTATTTGTGTGGTTTTGCTCTATTTTTTAGAATGTTTAGGGCAGATATAGATTTTAGTAACTGAAACATCTCAACACAAACAGTTAAGCTAGGCTAACTATTAGCTTTATCTTTTTAAACACATATGAGTTGTTTGTGGGAAGGTGAAGTTCCTCTGAGTGACACATTTTAATGTTTCTTTGCATTTTATGAGATATTAGTGAGCTAATGCTACTCATCATGCTAATGTATTCATTTATCGCTATATTTTTGGAATGTTTAGGGCAGATTTTTGTCAGATAGAAAATTAATAAATGAAGCAAAACCACAGCATCACAACAGGAACAGTTGGGTTAAGCTAATTAAGCTAGCTGCTAACTTTAGAATTTTAGATAAATACAACTTTCAGGTTCGAGCTTAACGTTCCTAACCACACAGCACAAGAAGGATATCTTTTACCCTCCATACGAAGGTGACAGTCCTACAAAAGTGAAATACATTAATGTTTATTTATATTTTATTAACTAATAATGCTAGTCAGCTAATCCTGTGCTAGTTTTCGCCAACCTCTGTCCATTTTTACCTTTATTTGCTGTGTTTTTTACATGTTTAGGGCTGATTTTTATTAGCTGACATGAGCTGAGTGTAACAACAGCACTAAATACATAGTTATTATAGTTATACTAAATATACACTCATACAAAAAAGTATTAGTGATTGCAGGATTGTAGCTTTGTGAAACATTCCTGCCAGTTAGAAGCAGCTCCTCATTACGGCTTTAATGATGATCCTCAGTACTGAATGCTCATTTGTCCAGCTTTGTCCAGAAAACTAGGGAGTCTGATCGCATGAGAAATGAGTATTTAGGACATTAGGACACTGTCCCAGGCCCTGGACACGAGCCATCTCTGTGCTTGTCTGTGGTGTGAGGGTAATGTGGGGAACGGTGAATGACCTTGTTCTCCCCACGTTCCTTCATTAGCCCTCCTCACAGCTTTCCATTTTTTATTTCCATTTTTGTCATGTTTTATCATTTTTTCACACTTCATGACTGTACAATGAGGTACACAATTAATAAATTTAAATAATCGTACAATATAAATTTAATATATAGCAAAGTGGTAATAACTCTAGACTCTACACTGAAAGCCCTGACATTATTTGTATTTAAATAATTAATAGTTAATAGTTATAATTAATAACTTGCTTGCAATTAGTTGCTATCATTCAATCTAGACTCAGGCTGTTTGTCTAATCCATCTAATTGAAAATGTAAGTGTAACTCAAAAAGATGAGCAAGAGCACAGTAATGGGTAAAGTTACCCAGAATCCCAAGGGAGTTAGCAGATTTATCTTTATTCGATCTTATTTTTCATTCTAGTGCTGTTTAAGCAAACAACACCATGACATGTATTATTATTATTATTATTATTATTATTATTACTATTATTATATAGCTGGTCTGGTTTTACAGCGTTAGGGTTAATTGCTCTGCCGTTTGGATTCCAGCATTGAGACCTCAATGCATGGCCCACTGAGTGATTAGCAGGTCAGCCAGAAATGAGGGAGAAGAAGTAAACAGAGAGAAAAGAGAGAAGAACTCAAAACAGTCCAAATAAATAAACACTAATTGTACTCAATTGTGGAAAGTATGAGGACACCTTGCATTCTCAACACAGGTTTGAAGCCATTATATGACTGGGAAAACTCTTCAGTTGGTCAGTAAGTCCAGTGATTGTTATAATCCCCCCATAATTCATTAGTTGTAAACAAAGGTATGAAATAGTTGACTGACTCAGATTTCTTTACAGTGGTGGTGATAGGAACCAGGGGTCGCCATGACTACAACACAAATATGGACATTTTGTTTACTATCCAAAACCACCAGTGAATCTACACGAGTCTTCTGAGTTTTCATATGGAATGTTGATGATGGGAAAATAGTGGAAAATAATAAGTTTTCTTTGAGGACACAGCACCCTGCATGTATCCCTCCACCATGAATAGATTTTAAGTTCTCAAAACTATCGCAAAACAATGTCTCAGACATCAGGCAGGGTATTCATATCCATTTCATGTAATAACTTTCTGTGAGGGAGCTTTTAGAGATGGACATCTGGTTCCTATCACTACCACTGTGAACAATTCTGATTGGTAAGTTTCTCTGGAACAGAACGTTTCACACCAAACCACTCCGAATGACTCTTTATACATCTTAACTGTTTAATCATGTGGAAAATGTAAAAAAATTGGTGGAATTCCCGATTCTTGTAAGGAGGCCAAGCCAGAGCACAGCAGTGTGTTAAAGCAGACAGAGGGGAGTTACAGTAGAATAGGGAAGCGGAGGGAACCTGCAGGAGGAGGCAGGATGAGCCGGGAAAACTGGGTGAACTGGGTGAACTGGGAGGTCACTCCAGACCATCTGCTGTTAAGGACCTGCTCACTCTGACCCTCCTGCACTTCACGGCTTGGATGGAACTAAGCAGATTATAGCGCTCACTTTAGGATCTGACTCACACCTGAACAGGAGAGAGAGAGAGAGAGAGAGAGAGAGGTACACAGAAAGAAAGAGAGAAAGAGAGATACAGAGAGAGAGGGACAGAGAAAGAGATACAGAGAGAGAGAGAAAGAGAGTGAAAAAAGGAAGACAGAGAAAGAGAGATACAGGGAGAGAGAAAGAGAAAGAGAGAGAGATGTATGTATATATGTAATATAGATGTCTTTTTTTCCTTCTCTTTTTCCCTTGTTACTCATATAAATATATTTCATAATTAATGTTTTTTTCTTCTCTTTCCTGTTATAAACTACATACACATATTCAATAGGTTTTGTTTTATTATTACATATACTTTTATATTATTAATTGATTTTTAACACTTTCTCTTCTTAATTGTTGCATTATGCATTATCGATTATAGATTAATCTTGGTTTTGTATTTTATTTCTTTTTGTTTTGTTTTTTGTTTTTTTATTATTAACTTTTAATACATAGATCATTTTTGTAGTGCTTTGACAATACAAATGTAAATTTGTCATGTCAATAAAGCGAGAGAAAGAGAGCGGTATCTGTATTGGCATCTTTGTACCATCTTATTTTTGACAGAGGCATTTTTTCTTTCATAAATAAAATATGCTTAGTTTCTTAGTTTACTGTTTGACCATTTAAATACCATTACAGTTAATGATGGATGTATATTGAGCTCACTGATAAATTAATGATGAATTAATGATGAAATAATGAGGAATTAATGAGGAATTTAGGATGAATAAATGAGGATTTAATGAGTGGGTTACAAAAATGCCATATGGCTAAGATTGATAGAGGATGTGCAGTCAGGGTACCCTTTAAGTCTACTGTTCTAAAACAGATCCTGAACTGCCTCTTGTTTTATATTTCAGGCAGACCTGAAGTTTTATCACGACCATGGACACAGACTCTTTTCGGAGTCCACTGGGCTCGGAGTCTCAGGATGAATGGGGGAGCGGGCTGTGGATGGATGCAGAGCCTGACTCCTCAGATGAAAGAGGAAGAGCTCCTCAAGCCCAAGAGGAGGATTCACACTCTGTTTCTCTTCAACAACAGCAGACAGGTGCAGAAAGTCTCTCAGAAGCTAGGACTGAATGTTTTCCACCTCCACCTCCTCCCAACAGCCTAACTGGCATGGACAATGAATCCAGAGATGAGGACTGGCCTCCAGTGCCAGCTCAAGCAGATAAACCAGTGGACAAACACTCTGAATCTCCTGAGGGCTCAGATTCCATTGTGTTTCTGTCAGAAGATAGCGAAGAGCAAGGGATAGACTGCAAACCTCTGGATTTTTCTTCTACAAGAGAGCAATGGGTAAGGAGGGACAGCAGTAGCTCCAAACCTCTGACTCCAGCCTTCTCCAGAAGCTCTTCCAGAGGCCTCATCACTGAAGAGCACCAGAGGGAGCCAGATGCACACATTCCTGTTCCAAACACTGAGAAACAGGAAGTGCAACAGGTGTGCAAACCTGCTCCACCCCTAGAGACGGTTGCCAGTGAACAAAGAGCCAATCTGGATCCTGGAAGCCCAACCTGCGGTGCTATTGTGGTGAAAGAGCCTTTGATAGAGGCAGCAGGAGGGTGGAGGGAGGGAGGCAGGGAAAGTGAGCAAACAGACAGAGAGAGAAAGCAGACGGTTTCAGGTTCAAGCACAGTGAACACGAGAAGAGAGAGTGGGGCACGAAGAGTTTGGGAAAGAAACAAAGAAGTTGACGCCTACGGATGCTCAGGAAGCGAAGAGGTCTAACAGAATGGATGTGGATCAGTTCGAAGACAGTCAGAGTGATAGTGGGGTTTCTGCGGATTTCTCCCCAAACAGCACCACGGATGTCTCATCCACTTCTGTAGCCTCTTCCTCTCCAGATCCCAATGAAACCCCAATTGAGAGGGAGATCCGCTTGGCCATCAAACGGGAGCAAAGCTTGCGCCGGTCCCGTGGCCTAAAACCCAAGGAAGACAAGGCGAAGGAGTTTGTGGAAATTCCTATGAGGAAGTTGATCCTTTCCCAGGATCTGCCGCTCAAGTCTGTGAAGAACGAAGGCAAGGACCGTCAGTTTGCTGGGAACAAAATGCAGAGAGAAATCAGGGCCGAGGCAGAAAGGGAGAAGGTTCTTGTCCAGCTGGGTAGGTTGCCTGGATTTTATGACAAAGGTACTGTGAGGCAACTTCGGGAGAAGAAGCTTCTGTTCGAAGCCTTCCAGGAACCCAAAGAGGCTCCTGAAATCCAGATCAAGAGGCCGTCCTCTGTTAACTCCTGTGAGATTTCTAATGGTGGAACTCAGGTCGATGAGATGTCTGGATTCCTCAAGAAACGCACATGGAGCTTGGATCATCTTCTTCAGGATCCAAATGGTAACCATTCAACAGTTGGCGGGTTGACCCTGACCTCCAGCGGACCCCATGGTCCTGGACTCACTGAGGGTACCAAAGGTCAGGTGATCATCCTAGAAAACACTCCTTCACCTGTCGCTCACACATCTGGCCAGGTGGAAAAGCCAACCAACAGGTCTGTGACTGTGGTGGACGGGCCAGGAAGGTCTTTCTCCGTGAAGCCTTACTGTGTCGGACGAGTCCAAAACCAGGATGACGGCGATGAAGGTAGTGATAATGACGAACGGTCGGCTGCCCTGAATGAAAACCCTTTCTTTAAGCTGCGATCGTCGCTGTCTCTGCGGCCGGAAGTGCAGCAAGACATCCGGGAGGCCAGAGAGAGAGAAAAGGAACTTCGAAAGCAAAGGACCAGCATTTATGGCCGGGGGTCAGAGGTCGAGGGTGCCAGATCCCCTACAAATCCCCCGTCGACACACAGAAACCTGACCGCAGCAGAGCAGCCAGCGAAAACATCGATCACAATTACAACTACATCAGGTAATGTCAGAAGATAACTTTCTGAAATGTTTTTTAATACAAATTATCACATTTTCTTAGTCAAATAGCAATAACTGACCACAATGAAGCCTAATCAGGTTTAATTATATCACGTGTAAATACCTGAGCCAGTGCTACATTGGCCTCTTCCATGTTATCCCCTATATCTTAAACATTTAGGTTTTTAAACCACCTATGGATCCAAAGAGATTCAATATTAGTTTTTATTGACAGTATGGAAAAGAAAACTGTCAAATCATTATTTAAAACCTGCTCTTCATACCAGGAAGATACTTTGATGATCATTAAGATAAATATACATAACTGATTCATGATAAACTAAACCTTCATAGAGAGTTTATTATTATTCAGTTCACTGAAAAGTAACAGTGATAATCAAACATTACTTAGAAAATTTCAAAACTAGGTGAGCTGTCCCCAAACTTTTGACTAGGCATGTTTGTGCAGGTAAATGAGTGCATCAGGTGTGTTAGGGAGGGTGTAAGATAAACACTTCTCCCTTCAGAATAATTATAATAATAATGTTAATTTTAAGGAGGTTTATTATTATTCTTTGTCCAGTGAAGCCTAAATTAGACTTGCATTAACTCTGCATTACATTTTATTTATTACTGAAAGTGTGTTATGTGAAAATTATTAATAATTGCATTGTCAGCTGGGTTAATGCACTATAACCATGTTAAGACCTTGTTATGCAAATTATTGAGCTTAAATTAATCACCAAAATTCACAATGTATTAGTACAAATTGGCAGGACTTGATTTGAAAAGGTTCTAGATAGTCTCAAGTTTATTGCAGTTACCTAAGAGTCAACAGTGAGTGTCAGGTGTGTTGGGGGTGTGTATGGGGAGGTGTAACATAAACATTTTTCCCATTGGAATAATTATAATACATATTTTAGGAACACATCCCGGGGGGTTATTAATGCTGTTCTTTGTTCAGTGAAGCCTGAATTAGACTCTTATAAAAGGTTTATTCACTCTTCATTAAGCTTTACTCATTACTGAAGGTCTATTATTTAAAAATCATTAATAAGTGCAATATCAGTTGTATTAATGCACTATAATCACCTTAAGACCATATCATTCAAAATATTGAGCATACATTAATCACCTAAATTCACAATGTATACATTGGCAGCATTTAATTCCTATAGGTTCTAGATAGTCTCGAGTGTACTGCTGCATTGCAGTTACCTAAGAGTTAACAGTGAGTGTGAGGTATGTTAGGGAGGGTGTAAGATAAACATTTCTCCCTTTAGAATAATTATAATAATCATATTAATTTTAAGGACAGTTTATTATTGTTGTTCTATGTTCAGTGAAGGCTGAATTAGACTCATAAATGACTTATGAACTTGAAGGTCTATTATTTAAAAATCACTAATCAACAGTATTGATTCACTCTAATGACTTTAAGACCTTGTTGTGCAAATTATTGCACATAAATTAATCACCTAAATTTACAAAGTATTCATATTTGACAGCATTGATTCTAACAGGTTCTAGGTGGAATCTAGTGAATTGCTTTATTGCAGTTACGTAAGAGTTAAAAATAAGTTTAATAAGTTACAAGATGTGCTGCATGTTCCAAAGTGCAGTTTTAGCCTCTGAACTCTTGGGTGGAACATGTGATGACATATCAGTAAACTATTAAATCTTTTAGCAACCAAAAAATACGAATAGATGCTGAATCTGTAATGCAGACCGGCTTTAAGGTCTGATTTAGGGCTTTACAACATCTAGAACACCTCTTTAAGTATTACTGACTTATTAAATTCCTTTTAGGTCTTAAATAAAAACATCCAGAAGTCACTTAACACTATCTAGAACCTAAAGAAATTAATACAAACAAAAATTACTACTCTCTTAAAAAAATGATTCTTCAAGTGTTCTTTAGTAAAGACAATGGTTCTATATAGAGCCAGTAACACTCATTTGCATGGCAAAATGGTTCTTCAGATTAATGAAGAATGTGTTGGTTCTGTATAGCCTCAAAAATGAGTTCTTCTGTTGTTACAAGCTTGACATCATTACAATAGCAGAACCCTTTTTGGGGCTATATAGAACCAACACATTCTCCATCAATCTGAAGAACCATTTCACCATGCAAAGAACTATTTCGAGTGTTTATAGTTCTATATAGAAGCATTGCGTTTACTAAAGAACCCTTGAAGAACTTTTTTAAGACTGTGGGGTTCTAAAATGACGCATCCATGTTTTGTAAAAGGTTCAAACTCCTCGCTGTGTCAATGCCGAGGCAGCGCTGCACGTGTTTGTGTCCAGCTCAATCTGCAGATCAGGTGACTGTAAATACAGGTTTTAGCCGTCAGGACACTGAGGTCATTACAGCACAGACCATAATTACTGAGGGAAAAATAAACAACACGGCAGCACAGGTTTGGCCCAGGAACTCCAGGATTTCCAAACAGAGAATCGGCTTTAAAGGAGTCTAGATTAGGATTAATCATAAACCAGAGAAAAATATTCTTTTATTATGCTTTGATTCAGCCCATTATGCAACAATATGTCCAGCGCCATGACCCCAAACTTTTAGGACAGAAAACAGCCAAAACTACACATTACAGGAGGCTACATACAGATAAATATACACACACTGGGTGTTCATTAGTGCCCAAGCTACAAGGGTAATAGCTAAGTAATGCAAGTTATGCAATCTAGAAACACAACAAACAAACTTATCAAAAAATAAACAATTAGCCAAACAATGTGGTTCCTCTTACAGTGTTAGCTAAGCTAGCTGACTTTCATTCAGAGAACACTCACAAACATGAACACCCCTCTATAAGCATTAGCTTAGTTAACTCCTCCTTTTCCCAAATGCAGTCGTCCATTTAAGACATATTTAGTGTTGAAATTTCCTTTTTTAATTTTATCACTTGAGCTACGAAGCTAATTGCTAAGTAGCGCAAGCCTACCCCACCAATTAGCACTACTGGACAAAAGTATGTAACATAGCTAAAAGCAGTAGCTTGGTCAGTGTTTATAGATAACAGTGAGTCATACAGTGTCAGAAACTACATAATCAAGTCTGTTAGGCTGAAGTTGAAAGTGGCCCAAATCTCTCTCACTCTCATCTGTTTTTTGTTAGGCTGTTTACAGTATCTTTTTATTGTGATCAATATCCAACTTTAGTCTGAACAGATCGCATTCCTAAACTGACCCACATTCACAAAAGAACAATACTTCTGGCTGTAAAGCACCCTTGAGCATGGAAAAGCCTATATAAGTAAAAGTGATGAAGATGAATGGAGCGCTCATCCAGAGGTAAACAATCAAAATGGAATCAACAATATCAGCGACTCCCGGATTTCAGACTTTTAACTTTTCTTTGACACTGTAGTCTCGTTCTCCTCTGGCCTCATTTGGCCATTTCTTTCCAAACCTCTTTGAACATGAAGCAGGTGCGGCAAGTTGCAAAATACAGGGGGTCCTGGCGGGTCCAGAAGCCCCTAATTAACCTCTTGGACTCCCTGAATATCTCAAAATCAAAATTCTGGGGGGGCTCTGAGAACCATGAATGGGGAACTCTCTGTTTAATATTCTTAGCTAACTACAATTGCACCACTAATCTGCCTCAGTGTGCCGCTGTAGCAGAGTGGTTAACCCAGTTGGTCTTCATAGCTTAGCAACTGTAACTATTCTCTGAAAAAACTTATACCTCTGAAAAACACTACAATGTGCTGCAGCATAACTGTAAATCTGAAAACTTGCCCACTTTCCCAAGAGTTTGGTGTAAAGAGTGACTGTTCCTCATTTCTCACACTGAAGACTGAAGAGGAGATGAGTAAGATCTCAGTTAATGTGAGGAAGAGCGCATCACCGTAATAGAACAGAGCATTCACAGAAGAAGAACTGATAAAATAAACATTTTGTTGCCATTGGAGCTAGCATAAGCGCTGCTGAGTTAGTCAACATGAGACCCTCCAAATACCAGGGAGTATTTTGCACACTGGGTTGCAATAAGTGCCTTCTAATTCTGTTTGTACAGAAGCATCACCGCAAATGTTTGAGGTCTGTTACCTCACTATCCCACCATAGTCCTCCCTCACTGCAGTCGTCCATCTTTCCTTCTCGGCAGCATGACATTCCCTGCTAGAAAAACTAGCATAGACCAGCATATGCTGGTATGCTAGGAAACCGGTATGGGCATGCTGGAAGATCAACTAAACCAGCACTAGACCAGCATAAACCAGTTTAGCCCATATGGAATTCATGCTGGTCTGTGCTGTGTTTTTCAGGATTGTGATTAATGTCAAGTTGGATTGACGTAAACGTTGCATTAATTCTGATCTGACTGTTCATACAGAGTATATGAAATATACATATGAAAAATATATAAAATATCCCAAATCGGAGCTCAAAGTTGCAGATTTAGTGTGTTTTTGTTGTTCACACTGACACACATCTGTGTCACATATAAAGAGAAATCAGATCTGGGCCACTTTTACCTGCTGTGTGAACAAAGCCTTAGAGATTACTGAACAACTCACAATGCAGAAACACTGCGCTGATGCTAGCAGTGAGCTGATGAGAACAGTGAAAATGCAGATAAAAGAGCTGCTGCTGTAGTGCTAACTCACTTCAAAACACGTGTAAATAAAGAAAATAACTTTAGAAAGAGTGAATAAGTTGATAATTGGAAAACGTATGAAGTAATTACTTTGAGTAAATTCATATTTTCCTCACAGAAAGACGTTCCAATGCAAAATTTTTACTCCATGCTACCCAGCTAGCACAATACCTTCCGTTAGCTAGCTAGATAGCTATGAAACAGCAGCCACTCCAGGTTTAATAAACAGCTGTAGTGCTTCAGACTGTAAAATAACACAGTAGCTCTTTAGTCCATTGGAGATTACTGAACAACTCTGCACAGTTTGGGGTGAGTGTGAGATCATTTAGGAATGCTGTTAGTGTGTAAGCTAGTGTGTTAGCTACATTAGCCTCATAGCTCCAGTGCTAAACTAAAGAAGTAAACTGCAGACATGTCTTGGCTGATTTACTACTCAACTGCATTTGGTGTACGCGGGGACACCAGGGGAATTAGATTTTTGTCTATTCACTGTAAAAAATGCAGCTTATAAACTTTAAAATGTAAGTAACCAGGTTAACTTGATTTGTTAGTTCATTTAACTTATAATAAGTTACCCATTTAAAACAGAAATTATTCTTTTATTAACTTAATATTAGTTCAATCAACTCAAAAATTAAAATTGGTCCCTTACATGTATAGGTTTAAAAGCTACATTTTTTACAGTGTTATTTCTTGGCTACACAATAAAAATTCTTGTTTTAACTTATAAAGTTAGTGTTCAGCTGCCTTAAAATTTAGAGAAAATTGAATTTCAAATAGGAACAAAAATCTGTGTTTTATGCTCTTTCAACTTATTATTGGAAGTTCAAATAACTCAAAATTTAAAAGCAGCCCAGACACTTACTTTTTACAGTTAAAACCCCTAAAATTTTATACAGTGATATTTATCTCCATCTGTTTTGCCTGTGTGAGTCAGCTCTTCAGACTGAACTCCTTCGATAGTTTTACTGTAAAATCAGCTTCTGTTTACTCTGAACTCTCTGCATCTAGATCTTCTAGGAATACGGAAACAAAGCAAAACAATGATATTTTTCATTTCTGCTTTCTTAGAAGCCTGATGTATACCTAGAAGTATACTGACCATAGTGACTCAGAATTAAAGAGGAGCTCTGCAGATTTTTCGTATTTTAATGGTTAGCTATTCAGTGGTTCAGTGGAGTTTAACATCTCTAGAAGCCCCCTTACAGAAAGTTATTGCATTAAATGGTTATGAATACATTGCCTGATGTCTGAGACATTGTTTTCTGATAGTTTTGAGAAGATTTTGGCCTAGAATGTATTTTTTGAAACCCATTTAATAACAGAACGTCTGTCATTCACCTATGTATTTAAAACAAAGTAAATATTAAACGTTCATGTAAAATTCATGGCCTTGATGATGCTTGTGAATCGGTTTGAGCACTAAGAATAGATCCTATGGTCAAAGTTTACATTTTAAACATGACAGAGTTTATAGTTTTACTGCGTCTGCTCGATGGAAGCGTCCAGCCCAGAAGTAGCAGGACTTTGGAGCAGAGATAAGCAGCGCTTGTACACAGGACATAGAGTTTAAAAAGATCTCAGAAAAAGCTTCTTGGCCTAAAGAGGTATTCCACTGACTTTCCAAAATTCCCCCATAATTCAGTGTGTGAGATGTAATCAGAGTGACTCTGTGTGGTTTGGTGCGAAATGGTTCAGATTTCTTTACAGTGGTAGTGATAGGAACCAGGGCGCGCCATGACCACAACACAAATATAGACATTTTATTTACTATCCAAAACCACCAGTGAACCGACATGTGTCTTCTGAGTTTATATGGAATGTTGATGATGGGGAAAATAGTGGAAAATCTGAAATAAGTTTTCTTTGGGGATTATTTTGCCTCATAGCGCCCTGCAAATTATGTATTCCTCCACCATGAATGGATTTTAAGACCAAAATCTTCTTAAAACTATCATAAAACAATGTTACAGATATCAGACAGTGTATTCATAACCATTTCATGTAATAACTTTCTGTGAGGGAGCTTTTAGAGGTGGACGTCTGGTTCCTATCACCAACACTATAAACAATTCGGGCTGGGTTTCTGTAGAACAGCGCGTTTCACACCAAACAGCTCTGAATGACTCTAACGAATGAATTATGCAGATAATTTGTAAAACTGGTGGAGTTCCCACTTTAATAGTTTCAGGGAATTATGTAATTGTGCTTAATTGTGTTTCTGAGGTATAGAGGCTTTTAAAAGTGGCTGTGGCCTTAAAATTGGGGCAAAATTCATTACTTTTAAACTATTGATGGTATGAGGGATTAATCATTAGGTTTGATAAGTTTATCCACCCAAACAAAGAAGATGTATGTTTGCCATTGTATGAACTGCTGTAAATCTGGAAAAAACATTCTCTACATTGAAGCCCATCAGATTTTGGTCTTTAGTAGACCACCCATGGTAAGTATATATATATATATATATATATATATATATATATATATATACACACACACACATATATATATACTGTTTGCTACACAGTCTGAAAACTGTATTAAATGTGGTGTGGTATGATGTGTTTTCTCACCTGTCTGTCTGTTCATCTGTCTGTCCATCTGTCCTTTTCAGTGCGTCAGTCTCTTGGTAAGCTGGATGTGACGTGGCCTCCTCCGCCACAGGAAGAACACACAGCACAGTCTGAGGTACACAACGCTAACAACGCCTACAACGCTTACAAAACACATTTACAACATTTATGTGTTTTTATACAAACAACATAAACATCTCTGCTACAAACAAACACTTTGCTACAAACTTTGTTTCTAGCTTTTACCGTTCAGTACAGTTCCACCCAAAATGAGGGGAAGTGCAGTGTTCCAGTTTAGCCCATGGGTGGGTTCACTGTAACAGACAGAGGGTCAGTTTAACACCTGCTAGAAAAGTCTGATGAATCAGTGCAAACAAAGTTAATTCAGTAGAATTCTATGTTGTGTATTTTCTTTTTTTGAAAAAGGTTCTATACAGCACCAGAAAAGGATTCCTCTAGAATTATTATGTCAAGCTTGTTACAGTAGAAGATCCCTTTTTGGTGCTATATGGTGCCTCGTATCTCCAAAATGGTAACTTTACAGGAGAAGGAAAATAATGGAACCAGACTTTTTCAGACTTTTTTTTTGTCATTTTGGGACATTTCTTTTGGTCCATTTAGCATGAAATTTACACACAGTGTAAAGGGTAATAGGTATTTTCAGATTATGCCAAAAACTAAAAAAAACAACAAAAATGGAGATAGGAGGTTTTGTTCTGACAGCAGCAATTTGCATAATTAGCATAGCATTTGCCTCAAACTGTGTTGAGTTTTTAAAGGGCCCGTAACCCACATATCACTCTTTTTTTTCTCATGAGCTCCACTTATAATAATAATAGTGCAGAACAAAAACCTGTCATAATTCACTTCTGCATGATTTTTGAACCTCACCTAATTCCTTGTTTTTTGTTACTGTACCTTTAAGACTGATATATGTAAATCAGCTCTGTTCTAACTGGCTGCCCTCGTTTAAAAAGCAGTCCAGGCTGAAACACTCCTTATAACTTCATTGTGAATGGCCAGAGCTAACGTGCTGTAGGATGAAGGGATAGGTGACTGAATTCAGCTTACTTTCCATATCTGGACTGTGTACAGTGGGGAGTGAAAGGTACGGTGATAGTGATATGGGCTCTTGAAGTATTCTATAATAGAGCTGATAATGCAGTTTCTGACACTGTTTGACATTCTGTTACCTATAAACATGGACTGAAGTGTGTCTGGGCTGTAACTGCATCCGTGTTTATAGATAACAGTGTGTTAAACAGCGTCAGAACCGCATAATCAGGTTATTTGGGCGCATCTGAGTGGACGATTCTCTGAGGACAGGAGTTTGGACTCTACACTGTGGGTTTTTTTCAGAGAGCTGACTACAGCCATATGACAATATTTTCTCATTATTGTGATTGATGTTGTTATCATAATAAACATAATGTTTGTCTGAGTGTACTTAATAAACCCCGATCGAGTGCATGTTTGAGTATAAAGAGCATAAACAGTCTGGACTGAGACCCGAATATTCTAGAACCAGCACAGAACATCAAAACTGTACACAGGGGCACCCTCAGCCCTCCTCTGAAGTTGGGGCAAGAAAGAAAGAACAAAAGAAGGTGTGGCGCAATAGAGAGAGACAGGGAGAGTGGGAGGGAGAAAGAAAGAGAAAGAATGAAAGAAAGAGAGCATAGCACGATGGAGAAAGAAAGAAAGAAAGAGAGAAAGAACATAAAAAGAAAGAAAGAAAGAAAAAAGAAAAATGGAAAAAAAGAAAGAATGTGTGGCACGATAGAGAGACAGTGAAGGAGAGTGGGAGACAGAAAGAAAGAGAAAGAATGAAAGAAAGGGATTGCAGTGCGGTGGGGAAAGAAGGAAAAAAGAAAGAAAGAAAGAACGAAAGAAAGAAAGAAAGAAAGAAAGGAAGAAGGTGTGGCGCAAGAGAGAGAGAGGGAGAGTGGGAGAGAGAAAGAATGAAAGAAAGAGCACAGTGCAGTGGAAAAAGAAAGAAAGAAAGAAAAAAGAGAGAAAGAAACAACGTAAGAAAAAAGAAAGAAAGAACGTAAGAAAGAAAGAAAGTGTGGCATGATAGAGATAGAGAGCGAAAGTGGAAGAGAGAAAGAAAGAGGGCACAGCACGGTGGAGAAAGAGAGAAAGAAAAGTGGGAGTGTGATTAGAGTGTAAGACAGAAAATGTTTGAGTGCCAGAAATTTCCATAAGTTTCCGTTGTCGACTTGCTGACCATGTTGAATAAAAAGTAGCAGCTGCTCATTTTACAGGTTAATAAAAAATTCTGGGGACAGTTTCCTAAAACAGCTGGACTGGGCTGAGCTCCGGATCTCTACATGCCCAGCCAGCACTGCTGATCCTTACCTGAATGTAGCACAACAAATTTTGAATAAAAAAATTGTATTAAGAGTTTTGGTGCATTTTGTCTATTGTGATCCATATCATGTCTCATGAAAAGTATCGTGATGTTATATTTTTCCATATTATTGCTCACCCTTAGCTGCTGTAACTGGCACTATAAAATAAAAACATTCATCCCAGGCCTGCATTTAAACTCCTTGTTTGGCTAGACGTGTCATAAAATAACCTAAAACATGTATTAAAGTGTAAAATACAGCTTGTTTTGCAAAAGACAGAAAATGACACAACACTGTATTATTTGTTTATTTGTCGTCAAACCAGAAAAGCCATGTAATACACTGTGTACCTGGCTCTATAATCTGCCTTTATCAGTGGTTTTCTGTAAGCTCATCTTCTCAGGAACCGCTCTTCCTGCTGAAAGAGGACGCCTCACTGCTCTGCTCAGTGCTCACTCGCAAATGATTCGATGCTTTTTACTGTTAAATGTTAGTAACCTGGTCATTTATTATTATTATTATTATTATTATTATTAGTTCCTCTTTTATGAGATTACCAACTCCACATGCTTTGAGACATGTGTGTGATGATTTAGGCATGCAGTTAGCAGTAAGTTAGCAACAATTGCTAATTGCTAATACATCCAGCTACATTAGCCTTGTAGCTCCAGTGCTAAAACTAAAGAAATCAAACTTCACACACCAAACACGTCTGTTTGACTACATTTCGAGTAAATTTTGCTGTTGTTTTTGGGATCGCAGGTTCAAAAAAGTCCAAAGCGGCAGAAGAATGTGTTGCTACAGCGCTGGGAGAATGGCCTGGTCAACGGACATGGAGACCAGCAGGAATGACCACCGCACAACTCGGAAAACCACTGCAATGGGAGAAAATGCCTCCAACAGCTGCCGCAGCTTAAAGCCTATTGGCTGCATGTTTAGATAAGGAAACACACTGGAAGCTAATATGCTAATGTTAGCTGATATGCTGGAATACTGGAGCTTAAGAACAAGTGTAAACACACTGGACTCTGACAGAGAGAGGACTGTGGACACTGAACTGACCAGCAGCTGCAGGAGGAGAGCAGACAGAGCTGGAAGAATTGAATTAATGCTTGATAAACATGCCATTATTCTTTAGTTAGCCATTAGTGTCTGGATGAGCGCTGGGTGTGAGCTTATTTGCTTTATGAAATTTCTACACTTTGTGGTAAACAACAGTCTTTCAATGCTGATATGTTTTTTTTCTGTGTACATTTTCGCTCTAATGTCAAAGTTACGAGGTCATTAAGTAGTAAAAAAGGAACTTTGCTAAATGTAAGTTAGCACCCCTGGGCATTGAACTGACATCATAAAGGACTATCAAGAAAACAAACATATGTACATTAATGCTATCTTTCACATTGAGTCCAAAACTAACAGACTGCAATTCTGCGGAATTATTTTTTATCTGAGCCTCTTTTGGCACCAATTTGGTTTGCAAAATGTACACAGGGAAAAATAAATTGGCTTTGGAAATCAATAGTTGAACACATTGTGCGTAAAATTGCTATTTATTTTTCTATAGGCAGTAGCGGCTTCCTTTAGGCATGTTGTCAACTATTAAACGACGCACAATCTCAGTGGTATGTATTATAGGTAGAATGTAAATTTATTATGCTAATTAACCTCAAACACTCTCTGACAAGTCAATGATATTATTAACTTCTCATCGATTATAAAATCGATTCAATTACTGTTCTTTCAGTAATGATTCAGTGCATCAAGAAATGTCAAATTTCAGTATGATTTGATTATTTTGGTACAGTTGCGAATTATTTAAAACTACACTGAACCACGAAGTAGTTGAATATAGACAATAATATAAATATAATAAATATAGATATATATTATATATAAATATAAACTTATTATTAATATTTTTTAAAGAATTTCACTTTGGCCCAAAAAAATGAACATGTACTCCATTGTATATTATTATAATTAAGTATAATCGATTCAATCAGGCCAAAATCGATGCATATTTACATAGAATAATCAGCAAAAAATCAGATGAATGTAGCATTGCTCAGTAGAACAGCTGAGTGAACAAATGCCATGGAAATAAAGACAGTCTTTTTAATGATCTGCTTGTGAACCTGCCTTTTTGATTTGAATGCCACCATAAAAAGTAATTTAAATAGGTGAGTTGGAGTCATCGGTGAGTCATAAGAGAGACAACACCCACACACCAACACCAAACAGCCCTATTGTCAGTGGACATTGCTGAAGGATGGTGTTCTGAGGTCAGGGAATGGTACGTATTCAGGTCTTTGTTTTACCTGAGCAGGTTTAAAACAGAAAACACAATAGAGTCCTCCTCACAGCATTCCAGCTCGATTTCATAATTCCTCTGTGGCATAATAGAGTTTTTTTCTACTAAAACATGTGCTTTAGTCATGACTACCCGTCTGACTCAGCACCATGAGAGCAATCAAATATCAGATTACATCCTGAGTACATTTTTCCCTTTTTTTTCTATTAAAGTATTAATTATTGTATTTTTTATGCTGGGTCCAGACGTCCATTCCTCACCCTATAACTTGAATTAGCATTGTTTTCTGTGTACATACTAAATAATAATAAGTCTGAACATTTCATAACAGTTACAGAGTAAAAAACAACTTACAAATGGAGGAAGCAGCTGGCTAACTATGCTAATCTTTGCCAACTATTGTTTTCTTTTAGTATTTTGTTTTTATCTCAACCCTGTAATATGCTCTACATTGTTATTAAATATAAAGCTGTAGCTTATAATTTCTTGCGTTGTGCCTGTTAGCTAATTCACTAATGTAAGCTAAGATTCAAAACTAATGGGTTAGCTTTGAAACTGTTAGCTTTTATCTTTCTGTAAGCAGATCAACTGGAATTTAAACTATTTACTCAAGTCCTTTTTCGGTAAGCAAGACAGAGTCTTACACTAGCCGCTTACCAGCCACAGAGTAAGCTACCTAGCCACAGACAGGGGAAGCCAACTAACCACAGTAAGCTAACTAGCCACAGACAGACCAAAGTAACTAGCCTAGAGCTAACTGCATTCAAACAGTCCCACAATGCACCGCGATAAGTAGTGTACAACTGATGTGCCCTAGCGGATAGGTGATACCCATAATGCACGGCAGGATGTTTATGTCACAGTAATGATAAGGTTTCTGAAATGAAAACTGGGGACATTTTCTGTTTGACGGTCAAGATATCATTAAAATATCCAATGTTTTTAATCTATGGCACGAAAAGGAGGGGCAGTTCCCGTTTCCTGTATTTTGACCATGATAACTGTTGTACTGTAATAAACTCTGGTGAAGGCCAACTAATAAAATGGGACAAGGCAGCAATACATTTACCTCAAAAGACTCGATGAATAGTGTTCTTTACAGAGATTTTCTAATGTAAGGGTTAGGGGACTGTTTCAGACACGGCCATGGTCAGCTAACTACAGACAGGGTAGCTAATATTTTCTTTATCAACCCACTGAAGCCATTAACATATGAGATTACTAAATATTTTCTCTTTTATAAAAATCTATTCGTGTTAAACAGCTTTTTAAAGAATGTGATGAGAGAGATGGATAAAACATCACTGTACTTAAATCACAGGGAAACATTGGGGTTTTAATGACTTGTATTCAACTGAATCATCTCCACGGCAGCAGCTCTCCTGACTCAGCTGCACACCGGTGAGCTTTTGAATGGGTCTCTATGGAGACGATGGGTGGAGTTGGGAAGCTCCCAGGAAAAACATCTTCGGTGACGCAATCCAGCAAGACTGGCTTATACAGCCCTCCAATCTACTGTTAATTATTCATCAGCTATGGTCTTAAGGAGTCATCACAGGCAGCATAGGAGCAGGGAATCGCAAATGAGCCAGCAGCACCTTATCAACCCCACCAAACACACGTGTTCATAATTGGTCAGAACTGGCAGTTAAATACATACATACATACAAATATATATCTATTTGCAAAAATGTAATTTCCTATATGTATGTATTGAACCTCCATTTTTGTCATTTTTTACTTTTTGGCATAATTTGATAACTCCTTCATATTGTGTTAAAATTTTATGATGAACGGACTAACAGAAATGGTCCAAAATTACTTGGAAAAAAGTCCATGAAGTTCCACAAGAATGTTTTTCCTTCTCCTGTAAAGTTACCCTTTTGGTGATATGAGATTTTGTTCCAACAGCAATGATATGTAAGTATATGTAATAACATGTCCCATATGTACTGTATTTATGTGTCTATATGTAGTAGTTTTCTTAGTCTAATACCAAAGTTAACCGCAATTGTAAACTCAGGAACCAAAAATAGTTTTGCTCATTCAGTTTTAGAAAATAAAACATGGAGCTCTCATAAAAAGCAGTTTAGAGAGTAAAATAGTCAGGACAGAGGCCGCAGCCTGCAGCAGATTAAAAGTAAAAGGACTTCAGAGCTGATAGTGGCAGCAGAATCATTTGCATTGGGTTCAAATCAGCTGTATGATGCAGGGCGAGCTGTAAGGCTCTTTTATCCGCCCCAAACCCTGAACAAACTGTACCATCCTGAGCTAAATTTACAGCCAAACACTCCAGCTGGCCAGACTCATCTCTGCCTCATCTCTGTCTGCCCTGCCCGAGCCGTAAACTGCTTTATTGCCCAGCGTTCTTATCACCAACAGTTTCAGTCCAGATGATTACGTCTGATTAGCTAGAGAAATAGCTGGGAAAAACAAGGAGAAATGTCCAGGCCCAGCCTTGGGGGGTCATTCAGCCATCATGACCCATTTGTTGAATCTTGCTTGTTTAATTTGTTTTCATCATGTTCATTATTAGAAATTATGTAGTCAGTAAATATACATTCTAAACATAAAAAGGATTAATGACATATCTGAAGTGTTTTTTATGATTTTAAAGAATTTTATTAATTTTACTATAATCTTACATTATTTTGTTACAGCAGAATAGACCTTATTCTGCTCTGTTTTTTTCAAGATAGAGAAAGATAACCATAAACAGTAAGCTAACTACAGACAAAGTATGCTAACTACAGACAGGGTAACTACAAACAGAGTACGTTAACTACAGACAGGGTAAGCTAACTGCAGATTGAGAGAGCTAATGAGCCAGAGTAAGCTAACTAGCCAGAGTCATAGATATACATACCTAGATGTCGTGTTGGGTCCAGTCAGGCACGTCAACAGCGTCGCCATTTTGGGGCAGTCAACATCGCTGCTGGACTGCATTTAGTACCATTACAGAGCCGCAGTTTAAGGAAGATACTATGCAAAAATATACTATTTCAAGAATATTACACTCAGAAAGGGAGGGAACACACAATCCATGCTCATGTTTGTGTGATACATAGTGCTTGTGTGATGTTTATGTGCAGATATGGTTGTGTGGTGGGTGATGCACAAAGAACCTGTTGATGTGATTGTTTTTCCTCTGGTTTTATATTAAGCTTCTTTCATTTAGTAGTCTATTCAGGGGATCTTAACTTTATGTAGTAGTTATTTATTTACAATGATGGTTAATGCTTTGTAGCTGGGTGAACTATAGCATTCCTTAATCCGTGTAGATATTTATAACAGATTAACGTTAGCACCTTCTTACACAAACCTGAAGTCAGATTCTTATTTCCCAGCTTCTTGTTCGATTTTTTTCCGTTACACCTTCAATGGTGCAGCTTCTGGCACCAATAAGTGACTGCTGCACCATTTAAGGTGGAACAGGAAAATTCGAACAAGAAGCCGGCGAATAGCCAGAACTTCAGCTTTGTCCTTCTTACTGTGTTTTGGGGGGTTTCATTTATTTTTATGTGTATTAAGATTAGAAGTGATTCACACATTGATGGATTTGCTGGTGTGTGAGATTATGTTTCTACCGGAGCTCGAACTAAACTCTGCTTTTAACGTCAGGTGCAGACTGACTGGACAGCTAATTAGCATGATCAGTTATTAAAGAAATAAAACCAGTCCATGCAAGATTAATCTATGTCTGAGGATTATAACAAAATAAATTTGGTGAAAATAGGTTGAGTAATAAGGAAATTGTGGCCGATTTAATCCTGAGAACTCATCATCTTTCAATACAAGTGAATTTGTTCCAACATGGCGGATGCACAGACGTATCACTTCAGATAAAGAACAACAGGCACCTAGGTATGTATATCTATGGCCAGAGTAAGCTAACCAGAGACAGAGTAAGCTAACTAGTCAGAGTAAGCTAACCAGAGACAGTAAACTAGAGTAAGCTAACCAGCCAGAGCAAGCTAACCACAGACAGAGTAAGCTACAGACATAGTGGGTTAACTAGCCACAGAAAAAGTAAGCTAACTATAGACCGAGTGAGCTAACTATAGACAGAGTAAGATAACTAGTCACAGATAGTGTAACTAACTGCAGACAGTGTAAGCTAACTAGACACAGATGAAATAAAGCTAACTTTAGGCTGAGGAAGCTATAACTACCCACAGAAAGAGTAAGCTAACTACAGTTTAACTACAGAGTAAGCTGACTACAGACAGAGTAATGAAGCTAGTCATAGAAAGAGCTAGCTACAGACACAGTGTACTAACTAATCACAGACATATGAAGCTAATGAATCACTGACAAAGTAACCACAAGCTAAGTAGCTATATCACTTAAGTACATTTAAGCAAAATAAAATAAAACATTTAAACTATAACCCTTTAATGTGGTCTTATAGGTAAAAGTGACAGAATTACGTGACAGAAATAAATATCAGCTATCCTGTGATATTAGTATGCCACAGCTAGCTAAAGCTAAAACATGCTTCACAGCCAAAACGTCTATAGAACAGTGCATCTCTCAAAAAGGACAGACATGCTGACAAATCAGTTGAGCGACTCAGTTAAACAAAGTGTAATCTTGGTAAAATCACACTAAAACTGAAACTGAGAGAAACGGCCAGCAGCTTCAGTCTCACCATAAAACGCACACTTCAGCACGACTGTTACTCAGAGAGAGTGAGCTGTACATCATTACTGCACTAAAGAGTTTTAAGCAAGATCACTGCTGAACATGTTTCTGGTTTCAGTGCTTTTAAAGTTCGTGCTTCAGAAAAACCCTCAATGTGGCGACAATCAAACCCTTAAAAAGCCATAAAAACAAAAAGAGAACTACATACAGCGATTATGTAATAGCGGACGTTACAAATCAGTTTTATTACTTAGCACTTTTCCCTCTGTCTTTAAGCTGATGTGGAAAGAGTTTTTGTCTGTGGTGTGAATGAAATGTCTCCACTGCTTAAACATTCTTAATTTAATTTAGAAGAGCATTACTTTACATTATTTATGTAAAAATAACTTTTTTGGCTTTTATAAACACAGTACAATACAATAATGCATGAGCTCAAATTTAAACAGAAAGTGAGCAAATACCATAAAACACATATTAAATATAATACTATAATATTAATACTCAAACATCAGCCACTTCTTTTAAACATCTGTAATCCACAGTTTACATTTTCCTACATTACACACAAAAATGTAAGCATATGACTTTGCAAGTGAATTATTTAAGTGAATTATTCTGAAATGCAATTGCAAATATTGAATTAGCATTTTCTTATAAGCATTTTAATTTGACTGTATTTGTATAATAAAAATAAAGGTGTAACTGATCTGAGTAAGTCTGGATTCTGCTGATACAGCGTGGGATTCTTCAATGAGGGTGTGAATGCGGTTCAGTATTATATAAGAAAAGCGAGTTTAGCCGCCAGTAGAACTGAAACTAAAGTGACGACCTGGCAGAGTTCAGTGCAAACCAAATACTTTCATGTCTCTGATCAGCCACACCATCTGCATGCCCCGCCCACTGTTGCACTCAGGTAAGCTGCACACCTGTAATGGTATTCAGTGCAGGCGGGTCAGGTGGATCTGTCCCATAAACACACCTCGCCATTCTCACAGAGAGACACACTGACTCATTTATCTAAAGGACCGTTGAATGTACTGAATGGACAGTCGTAGATGGGCTCTGAAACTGAAATACGTCCATTTTCTGCTCCAGAAAACTCCTGTAATTACAAAATTAACCACACATAATTAGCTGAATTAATCTAAATTATATAAAAAATTAATTAACCTCTTAAACTTTTTCAGTATCTGCTATAAGTTATTGACCAACTACTATGAATGATTTAGTATAATTCAATGAAGAATTGAAGTGTGAACCCTCAGAGTTCAAATTAATATTAATAATTATTATTGATTGTTAATGAATAATAAACAATACCTTCTCATCCAGTAAACATGCATACTGTACTGAACTGTACTATACTGAACTGCAGTGAACTGTACTATAATGTACTATAATATACTGAACTGTACTAAACTGTATTAAATTGTACTGTACTGAACTGTACTAAACTGTACTATACTGTAATGTACTGTATTGTACTGATCTGTACTAAACTGCATTGTACTGAACTTTACTGAACTGTATTTTAGAGTTTGTTTCAGAGTTGGTGTTGAACATTACCGCTGGGCTGGTGTTGATTCTCTGTAGTGTGAGATCTGCAAAACAAAATATGTTTAAAAAAAATATGGAACACGTTACATGTAACATCTATGAGTCAGCGAAGCTGATCGAAAAGGCCACAGAGGGGAGAATATATAAGAATCCATCACACACTGACCTACGATGTGGTCTTTGAAGTAAAACTGCTGCCAGAACGTGTCTTGCTCTCTGTGCAGAGAAACGTTCAACTGATTACACAAAGCAATGAAGTTCACAGGACAGGAAGACACGCAGGACACTTTAAAGCTGACCGCTTCTTTTGACACTACTAGTCACAGTGGAAGACAATAAAAGGAAAGTAGGCTAGGTATGCACAATATATTGGTGGCTGATATTATTTGCCAATAAATGGAAAAACATAACTATTATTAATGCAAATTGAGATTAGGGCAGATAATTACAACTAATATCTATTAAATGATGTAATATATCAACTAAAGTGATGTAAAATATTAAAATAATCAATTAAACTAAAATAAATTACCGGTTTATGATATTGCATTGGCCACAATAAGGTGTTAATTATCAGTTATCAGGTCCAGGAACTCTATTTTGGAGCATTTCCAAAAGCAGCCTGTGTTGATATAGCCTCAGCGCTTTCATCAATAAACTTCTGATCATAAATGTTTGTTCTTAATGAATCTGTTTTTTAAAAACACTTTCATATAAATTGTACTGATTGCAGATCATGCTGTACTCACCTCTGTCTCCTTTTCACTGCTGCTGCCTTAGCTATAGAAAAGAGGAGAGAAACAAAATTACTGAGGCAGCTGCAGAGCCGGAGAGACTCCAGAACCCTCTGAATGTGAGTGTGAACACACCGTGTTTGTGTACAGCAAAGCCCAGAATGATCAGCACCAGCAGGAACAGCAGCGCGGCCGAGACGGAACCGATTATCAGAGCCAGGTCCACCTTACTTCCTGCTGAAGAGAACAGCGCCCCCACGGGCCAGTCAGAAAAACAATGCTACATGGTGCTGAGTATATGTGGTACTATGTGGTGCTATGGGGTGCAATGGGGTGTTATGTGGCACTATGTGGTGCTATGTGGTACTGTGTGGTGCTATGGGGTGTTATGAGACACTATGTGAATCTATGTGGTACTGCATGGTGCCATGTGGTACTATATGGTGCCATGTGGTACTATATGGTGCTACGTGATACTAAGTGGTACTATGTGAAACTGTGTGGTGCTGTGTGATACTATGTGAATTTATGTGGTACTGTGTGCTGCTATGTGGTACTAAGTGGTGCTATGTGGTGTTATGAGATACTATGTAAATCTATGTGGTGCCATGTGGTACTATGTGGTACTAAATGGTGCTATGTGGTGCTATGTGGCACTGTGCGGTGCTGTGTGTTACTACGTCGGTCTATGTGGTGCTATTTGGGAATCTATGTGGTGCCATGTGGTACTGCGTGGTGCTATGTGGTACTAAGCGGTGCTATGTGGTGCTGTGTGATATTACGTGAATCTATGTGGTGATATGTGGTACTAAGTGGTGCTTTTTGGTACTCTATGGTGTTATGTTGTACTATATGGTGCTGTGGGGTGCTAAAGGGTGTTGTGATAAAATGTGGTGCTGTGTATTACTATGTGGGTCTATGTGGTGCTATTTGGGGATCTACGTGGCACTGGGTGGTACTATGTGGTGCTATGTCATGCTATGTGGGTCTGTGTGGTGTTTTGTGGTACTGCTATGTAGTGCAACAGTTGTCTGCAAAGATTTTGATGCCACTGGCTAAATTACATTTTGTTTATGCTATATGGTGTTGTGTGATACTACACGGTGCTGCAATTCAACCTAGGGTGCTGTGTGGTGCTGTGTGGTTCTATATGGTGCCACTTGCTGGTGAGTTCTGTTTGGTTCTGTGTGGTGCCACAGGGTGCTACAAAATGTCACCCAGTGCTGTGAAGTTCTACACAGTTCAGAATGGCCTCTTTTTCACTGTAGAGCCAAATAGTTCTCATGGCTGTACTCTGACGTTCTGCACTGGTAAGGAATTGTGAGACCAGTTATGGTTTCTTTTTCCATCTGCTGTGCTGCTTAATCAGAACAGGACAATACTAAAGAAAACTACACAAAAGAGTGGCTATAACGGCTATCTGGCTAATACACACAGCACCCACCACAACACATATTTGATTCCATCTGTTACTCCCGTGCCAGTCTCTCAGCGTGCTCTTAGATTCTTTATCCTCTAAATGGGTGTTATTTAAAAATCAGCTACTGAAACTCAGCTTGTACTGCAGTGGGTAGAACCTGAAGCTGGCTAACTACATTAGCATTCATATTTCCCAGCAGGATACAAAGTCAGTCAACTCTGCTCCCGCAGTCTATACTTGTGATAGTAGAGCACCAGTTAGTCATATCAACCCTGTACTGGGCTGTTTGGATCTAAGCTAAGCTAGCTAGGAGTGAGGAGCCAGCTAGCATTAGTCATTAGATAGATTTGAGCCATTATAATCTAAACTTGTATCAGTAAAACTTTTGTTAGTCAGAATCAAACATGTTCTGTGGTGAGCTGAGCTGGCAGCATGCTAGCTAAGCTAAAGCTAACCAGCTACTCTCTCCTGGTTAGCAACACTGTTTAACATTTAGAAATTGGTAAAGTTTTTTTTGACATTTAATGAATAATGGACTTAAAATCGTGCATTGCTCTCATTTCTTTGCCATCCACGTGAGCAAACAGAATTTATTAGATTTTTTTCAGATTTGAAATAACGCAGCAGAATGCGGTTGCACAATATCAGCATGAATGTGGAACTGATCAGTGAATGGCTACGTTGTTACGTTATCCCACAGAACAGCTCTGTGGCCCTGAACATGATTAGCTTACCATGCTGAAAAAAATGCACTGAGCCTGGTTTTTAAGTGTTCTGTGTGGAAATGCCACTAGACTGGTTACCCTCCTTGCTCAGAACCGTTTGACCCTGGAGTAGAAAAGAGGCCATTGTTTTAAATGATGCTGTGTGATGCTATTGTGAGTGGAGACAGTGGAGGATTTAATGTTGGGAGTGCTAGCTGGATCTGTGTGTGTGTGGGGGGGGGCGGTGACAGGGTATGTTACCTGTGGGAGGTGGGGTGTAATTGCTGGGACTACAGGAAGGTGATCCTGAAACACAGGACAGGTAAAACACAGCACATGTATAACACACATCTAATCTTACATCTTCTACATATAGAATAAAACAAAATACTCTATTTTATTTACATAATCTGGAATTGTTTCCAATTAAATCTTTCAGGTTTAACATAATGTTGTTTAACTTACAAAAAAAACTTTGTCAGGATGATTGTGAGTGTGGAAACACTCAATGTAAAGGTCCTCTCATAGTGAACTGCAGTGCACACATACATATACGCACAGACACACCTGTAGTGCAGGGTAGTTTTATGGTGGAGCTGCGTTCAGAGTGTGCCCAGTCAGTGCCCAGCAGCACGCTGTACTGGCACTGGTACCAACCCTCTGTCTTCACAGCAAATCGGGCACTGTGCTCAACCGTCAGTGCTTGTTGTGTTGCTATAGGTAATTCTGCCCCCTGGTGGTAGAGGGAGAAGCGAGCTCCGGGGTATGAGGGTGAACCCGTGCACAGTAACACATCTTCATGATCGTTAGACAGTAGTGGATCTGGAAGATGAGCTGTGGAAACGAACACATTCACATGTTCATGCCTGACAAAGTTGTCAGAATCTGAAGGTAACTGACAAAATTCTGTCTGAACCGAGTGAAGCTGACAAAATTCTGTCTGAACCAAGCAGGCAGTAGAGTCACTGCAGTACTGTAGTTAGTGTTAGTGTGATAGAATTTGGACTAAAGCGTTTGAGTCAGTATTGAAGTAAACCTGCATCTGTGATTTACCTGTAATGCTGCGATTCAACCTAGGGTGCTGTGTGGTGCTGTGTGGTTCTATATGGTGCCACTTGCTGGTGAGTTCTGTTTGGTTCTGTGTGGTGCCACAGGGTGCTACAAAATGTCACACAGTGCTGTGAAGTTCTACACAGTTCAGAATGGCCTCTTTTTCACTGTAGAGCCAAATAGTTCTCATGGCTGTACTCTGATGTTCTGCACTGGTAAGGAATTGTGAGACCAGTTATGGTTTCTTTTTCCATCTGCTGTGCTGCTTAATCAGAACAGGACAATACTAAAGAAAACTACACAAAAGAGTGGCTATAACGGCTATCTGGCTAATACACACAGCACCCACCACAACACATATTTGATTCCATCTGTTACTCCAGTGCCAGTCTCTCAGCGTGCTCTTAGATTCTTTATCCTCTAAATGGGTGTTATTTAAAAATCAGCTACTGAAACTCAGCTTGTACTGCAGTGGGTAGAACCTGAAGCTGGCTAACTACATTAGCATTCATATTTCCCAGCAGGATACAAAGTCAGTCAACTCTGCTCCCGCAGTCTATACTTGTGATAGTAGAGCACCAGTTAGTCATATCAACCCTGTACTGGGCTGTTTGGATCTAAGCTAAGCTAGCTAGGAGTGAGGAGCCAGCTAGCATTAGAGTCATTAGATAGATTTGAGCCATTATAATCTAAACTTGTATCAGTAAAACTTTTGTTAGTCAGAATCAAACATGTTCTGTGGTGAGCTGAGCTGGCAGCATGCTAGCTAAGCTAAAGCTAACCAGCTACTCTCTCCTGGTTAGCAACACTGTTTAACATTTAGAAATTGGTAAAGCTTTTTTTTACCTTTAATGAATAATGGACTTAAAATCGTGCATTGCTCTCATTTCTTTGCCATCCACGTGAGCAAACAGAATTTATTAGATTTTTTTCAGATTTGAAATAACGCAGCAGAATGCGGTTGCACAATATCAGCATGAATGTGGAACTGATCAGTGAATGGCTACGTTGTTACGTTATCCCACAGAACAGCTCTGTGGCCCTGAACATGATTAGCTTACCATGCTGAAAAAAATGCACTGAGCCTGGTTTTTAAGTGTTCTGTGTGGAAATGCCACTAGACTGGTTACCCTCCTTGCTCAGAACCGTTTGACCCTGGAGTAGAAAAGAGGCCATTGTTTTAAATGATGCTGTGTGATGCTATTGTGAGTGGAGACAGTGGAGGATTTAATGTTGGGAGTGCTAGCTGGATCTGTGTGTGTGTGTGGGGGGGGTGACAGGGTATGTTACCTGTGGGAGGTGGGGTGTAATTGCTGGGACTACAGGAAGGTGATCCTGAAACACAGGACAGGTAAAACACAGCACATGTATAACACACATCTAATCTTACATCTTCTACATATAGAATAAAACAAAATACTCTATTTTATTTACATAATCTGGAATTGTTTCCAATTAAATCCATTCAGGTTTAACATAATGTTGTTTAACTTACAAAAAAAACTTTGTCAGGATGATTGTGAGTGTGGAAACACTCAATGTAAAGGTCCTCTCATAGTGAACTGCAGTGCACACATACATATACGCACAGACACACCTGTAGTGCAGGGTAGTTTTATGGTGGAGCTGCGTTCAGAGTGTGCCCAGTCAGTGCCCAGCAGCACGCTGTACTGGCACTGGTACCAACCCTCTGTCTTCACAGCAAATCGGGCACTGTGCTCAACCGTCAGTGCTTGTTGTGTTGCTATAGGTAATTCTGCCCCCTGGTGGTAGAGGGAGAAGCGAGCTCCGGGGTATGAGGGTGAACCCGTGCACAGCAACACATCTTCATGATCGTTAGACAGTAGTGGATCTGGAAGATGAGCTGTGGAAACGAACACATTCACATGTTAATGCCTGACAAAGTTGTCAGAATCTGAAGGTAACAAAATTCTGTCTGAACCGAGTGAAGCTGACAAAATTCTGTCTGAACCAAGCAGGCAGTAGAGTCACTGCAGTACTGTAGTTAGTGTGATAGAATTTGGACTAAAGTGTTTGAGTCAGTACTGAAGTAAAACTGCATCTGTGATTCACCTGTAATTTCGATGGAGACAGGTAAGCTGGGGGCAGAGTTTTGGACCCCCTCTGGCAGGGTGAGTTGGTATATGCAGGTGTAGGTGCCCCTGTCCGCCTGGCTGACTGGACCCACCCTCAAGTGGGGGTCAAAGGATCGGCCCACCTCCTGATCTGAATCTGCCCCCCACGGCCGCCTCATCAGGAGAAAGATTGGGGGAGGGTTACCTGGAGAGGGGGGTGGAGCCTGGCAGTGGAAGTCCAGGACCTTACCAGGTAAGACATGGCCAGCAGGGGGTGTCACTGACAGGCGAGGAGGTGTGATGGGGCCTGCAGTGAGGAATGAGAGAGAGAGATTACAGTGCACTATTTTGACATAAAAATTCATATAAGTGTTTTTCTACAGGAGAACGAAAATCAGTGTACAGCACTGAAAAGAGACCGTTTATTTACTTAATTTCCTGTCTAAACAGCCTTTAAGTACATATTATTAATTTTCCACAGTCAGAAAAAAACAGAATACACATATTAAACTTTTTTAAATTATGTGTAATTAAAAAAATTACACATAAGCCTCAACAACTAAATCTAAAATTGAAGTTTCAGTATCTTTTTTTTTTTTGCGGTGCAAAAAAGGTTTTGACAAAAATTATTTTTGGAAATCCTGATTAGGCCAGAGCTATAGCTAATGCTCTGGGGCCTTTAACATCTTATGTACATAGCCATGTAAAAATCTTGGTATTATTTTTGATTCTGTTCTTAAGTTTGAGAAGCAAATAAATGCTGTTGTGAGAGCTAGCTTCTTTCCACTCAGGAATATAGCAAAAATGAAAAGCATTCTATCTTTTAAGGACCTGGAAACATTTATTCATGCTTTTCGAGTCTTTTTACTGATTATGGACTCAGTATCTATTCTGTTTTGCCAATGTAACTTGTCTATTTTGTTCTTTTTTGTTTTATTTTGTTTTATTGTTTTATCTGATTTTTTATGTGCATTTTTTTTCCTTGTTCCACACAATGCTTTACTTTACATACATACTCTACATACATACAAACACAGTTTAAGGGCATTTTTCCTACTCATGAATTTTAAGGATTTGTAATACAAACCCAAATCCAGATTTGGGAATCTTTAGTTTTTAAAGATTCTGCATTTATGTATGTAGTATTTAACCAAAATAGTGAGTCACTCTTTCCTTTTATTCCAGCTTCCATTTTTTTCAGGAGACTCACTTTCAGTTCCTCAAAGAATCTGCAGACACACCTTCAAAGTTCAGTCTTAGAAGTTGGTTGATCATTTTCTGAACTAATCAAACACATTCAGTGATGTTGAGGTCTGGATTCTGGGGTGGTCAGTCCATTGTTCAGCTTCTTTGTTTGATGTGTCTGTCTCCTTTTCTCAGTGAGGCTTCTTGACAGCTACACACCCTTTCAGACCCATAGCGCTGAGTTGTCTTCTCACAGTGGAAGGATGGACAGAAACGCCTGTGGATGTTTTCAGATCTGAAGCAGCTTGATTTTCTCCTCTCTCTCACAGAGGTAAGCTTTAAGTGCTGTTTATCTGATGGGGGCAGTTTTAGTGTCTACCAGGTCTTCCAGGTGATTGTTATGAGTCACATTTTCTCTGTAGCTTTTAATCAGTTTTTGAACTGCAGTTTTGGCAGTTGGATTATCTTACATCTAATCTCCTCACAAACACCTCCTGAGAAATTAACAACTTGAATTTGACTTGAACTAACTTTGTTTTTTTCAGTCCATCATGCTTTTGAATTGATTATATGTCAGTTATGATATATTTCAGAGTGAAATGAAGATGTGGAGGAGTAGTGAGAGGGGTGTGTGTGTGGTGAGGAGGGTGTGGAGGTCTCTTTGGTTTGAATGGTTGAAGTTTCAGCATTCGGCAGGATGTTAAAACATGCTTTTTGTGGTCATGAGTTTAACCGTCAACTGCTAAACAGCTCTGAATACACTGCCACGACCTCAAACACTCACACACATTCGTATGAACACAATGGGTGAAAATCAGTGAAGTTACAAAATTGTCTTTAGAAGAGAAATCTTTTAAAATGAGCCTTTTTCATAACTACACACACGCTTAAAAAAGATGGTTCTTCAAGGGTTCTTTGAAAACAGAACCATGAATTGTAAACGCATTATTCAAATTGATGGAGAATGTGCTGTAGATGGTTCTATATAGAACCTTTTTGAAAACAGTTCTATGCAGCACCAAAAAGGGTTTTTCTATTGTTACAAGCTTGACATCATCACAATAACAGAGCACTTTTTAGTGCTATATAGAACCAACACATTCTCCATCAATCTGAGGAACGATTTCACCATGCAGAGAACCATACGTAAGAAAAAAGTTGAGATAAATTATTATTCTTCAAAAAAAAATTCTAAAGAATTTTCTTCATTTCTTTCTCAATTTTCTCTCAAAACTGTTGCAAGAACAAGTGATATTCTTAAAAAAAAAGTTCTTTAATATGTTCTTAACCTTGCGACCGACACTGTCATAGACTGTAAGAAATAACAAGATCTACTAATGATTTTAATAATTTTCACAAAATCATCCACCATCACACAGTCATTGTTTGCTAATTCTTTATAAATGTTAGGTTTGATTTTCTTTACCTTCACTTTGCTGTCCCTGTGATTAAACCACTTAACTAAAAATATGGTATAATTTCTAGTAATCTGTAAAATGTAACAGGATATTGATAAATTACATGACAAATAAGCTACAGATTATGTACAAGAACAGTTATTTTTTTTCTTGAGAAAAAAAATTAAACTTTCTTAAGAAAATATTGGAGTGTTTCTTAAGCTTTTTATGAGAACTGCATTTAACAACGTTGGGCTTCATTCACCAACCGTTTTTAAGAAGAAATTTCCTCTTACAACCCACTTATTAAGAATTTGTTCTTAGGTAAGAACAGAATCTACACACACTCAAGATCACAAAGATGAGAACAGTTCTGCGCTTAAAGAACATGTCATAAATCTGACTTAGACTTTTTCTTAAGAACTTTTCTAAAGAGCTCCTACCCTTAATAATCCCACAACAGGGAAAGCTTTCAATCAAGGCTGGTTCCTTGTGGTTCTTTAAGAAGAAACTTAGGAAGATGTTGCAGAACGAGGACCATTATTATGAAATCATTAAGTCTTTAGATCTTTCGCAAGGTTTTCTTAGGAATGCTTTCATGAATCTGGCCCCTGGACGCGTGTTGATTTTTTAAGTGTGAATATGTCAACATGTCCTCTACAAAGAGTATGGAGAGAAGTTGGTGCCAGATTGAAAAGCTGTCAGTACAGTGGAAAAACGTGAAATGCAGTGCACACATACATTACTGTTCCACAGTGAGATGCAGAATATGAGCTAGAAAGAAAAACAAACCCTCTATTACACTATTTTAACATCACCTTTTTACTGACGTGACTTTTTAATTTGGGCACAAATTCCTCCTCCTGCACTGTTAGACATAAATGTTCTGTGCAGGTACATTTATTGGTCATCAAGGCACATACAATGTAAATGGAGATGAGACGGGGTGTGTGGAGTTAGTGCAGTTTAGGAAATATAATTTCAATGAATTATGGTACAATTATGTTCCCTGAATAAAGGAACTGAGATGTACCCTTGAGGTTTCCACCCCTGTGACAAGAGGGGGACTGCCCAATTGACAGTTCAGCACCGTTAGTGTACAGAGAACAGAGAACACATTTTAATACACAGTTACTGTTTATTTACTGAATTGAACATATTGAGGGAAAATTTTTAAACATAAATGTCAGCCTGTGCAAAATTCTGTTTATATATTATTTTTTTCCAAAATTTTAAACATAATTGCGTATTAAAATGTACACAAACATGGAATTTGATGCAATTTGATGGAATTTGTAGAAATGACTAAATACATGAATTAAACGAAAAAATGTTATCTGTTATATTATTATTAACTGATGTGTTTTATTGTTTTTGGATGTTTTAGACAGGGCGCGATGGTGTTAGCGTTTAGCCTTCCGTACGTGTTGGACTACTTCTATTTCTACATTATGACTTACAGGAAAACGAGAAGATATAATGATTAAAGTTTATATTTAGACATATAAATCTTATGCCTTATGAAGCTCATCTATTTTTTATGATGGAGACACAACAGAATGTTGCACATTAATGAAGCCAATTTTTTCTATTCTCAAAACCAAAACAAAATACACAAACACTAATGTTTAATCCATTTATTTTCTTTTTTTATTTGCTTGCTTATTTATAGGAAGGATTGGGGGGGGGGCAAATATGTTTGGAAACTGTAAAAACAATCACTGCTCATTTCCATATTTTGACCTCTTGTAAATTTGGGGAGTGAAAATGCAAAATAAAGCGATATTCATGCACACAGACGGTGCTGAATCAGATAATACTGCAGAGATTACTCAAGACAGACGCACTCCCATCTGCTCAGAGTTTCTCTCTCACTCACAGCAACAGAGCTTCATACTCCACCCTGTTCATACTTTCCATCTGCTCATTTCCTCAGCTGCTACAGAACTGACCAAAGAAACGGAAACAAGCTGAAATTCCTTGCGAAACTGTAGAACAGACTAGGTTTATATCACAATACCTACATTAGAGCCAGTTATTTATTCAACCTAATAAGAAACTGTAGAACAGACTCAGTTTATTTCACTATACCTACATTTAGAGTCAGTTATTCATTCAACCTAATGAGAAACTGTAGAAGAGACTCAGTTTATATCACAATACCTACATTTAGAATCAGTTATTCATTCAACCTAATGAGAAACTGTAGAACAGACCCAGTTTATATCACAATACCTACATTTAGAGCCAGTTCAGAGATATACATCAAGTTTGGCAGTTTTAGCTGTTGCAGAGTTGCTAACTAGCTAAGTTAGTGTCATAGCCTGCATTGCTAGCTACAGTAATTTAAGGGATTTGCTAACAGCAGCAAAACAAAGCTTTTATCTTGTTTCATCTTGCTAGCTAGCAAAGACATGCTAGCTGGCTAATGCAGTGCAGTTTTGAGTAACATTAGGTGTTGTGCTAGCATGAGCTAGTTTTTGGTATGACTTTTCAGGATTAACAAGGCTAAGGTTGCGTTCAGATGGTGGATTAAGTTTAAAAATATTCACTTTCAGCTGAAAAGCTCTGCTTATCAGGTGTCAATTTTCATGAGGTAACCAATCAAGAAAGAGGGTAAACCTGAACTGGAGAGTGAATGTGTGCTGAACAGTAGGACAGATTAGCTCACATTTGTGATGGAAAATGCTCAGCTAGAAGATAGACATGAATTCACTGGCGTATATCATCCTGTACATTGTTACTACTTTGGTTAGCTTAACAGCCTTGAGAAACAGATGATGATCACCACTGCAGCTCCGTGAGTGGTTTACTGTAATGTAGAAATTCATTGGGTCTCTGTGCAAGTTGTGGTGTTCCAGGTGGTTGCTAACATTGCTACTGTTTAGTTGGGCTGATTAGTCAGAATTAAACTTGGTGGACTTTCAAAAATAAGCACAGTATGCACTAGTTTTTTTTTTTTTATATCCTGTTTCACACAATATTTAGTGTGATGAAGTGTTAAACTTCCTGTCCCTAACACTGCCCACAAAGATCCGCTTTGCTCCTTCTCTTCATAGAAAAATTTATCACAGGTGAATTCCTCATGGTTCACACGCTACTTTTTTGCGCAATAAATGGACATACATCAGTCTGTACTGACCAGGAGCGATATCAGCCATCTTCTATGATATGAGCAATGGACACATTTGTTCGATCAGTAATAATGACCTTCTTTCTGTCTACCATTAAAAACTCTGAAGCCCTGAAATACCCTCAGCTCTCCTTCAGATTAGAGCTGATGTCAGATCGGAGCCGTGTTATATATATATATAGACGCAGGCAGTTAAAGAGGCCCTCTGTGGTTTTCCTGTTAGGTCTGACCGTCTCCACCTGGACTATAAAGGTGAAACATCAGAAGCTAATTCCATTTAAGAACGTTCACACGCACGCAATATGACCACACTATCACTCCCTTTGAAAAGTCACAACTGAAGAGTCTAAAAACCACACGATCACAAGAAAACACATGGAACATGATGAGAATAATATGTGATGGCATGTGACATGATCACAGGTCATTTCAGATTTTTTCATGTGATCACAAGTTATTTCACATGATTTTTCACATGATTTCTGAGAACAACATGTGTTTTTTCATATGTGACATTGATGTGTTTTTCATGTGTTTTTTCATAACGATTCTCTTTTTCAAAACACTGAACACCTGGATTAGGTCTGGGCAATATGGCAATATATATCATTATCGCGATAAATTATTATTTAAAAAGATGGTTCTTCAAGGGTTCTTTAGTAAAGAAAATGGATCTTTATGATAAAAGGTTCTTCACGCTGATGGAAGATGTGCTATATATGGTTCTTCATAGAACCTTGTCCAGAAGCGTTCTACATAGCACCAAAAGGGTTCTGCTATTGTTACCACACTCTTTAAAAAGATAGTTCGTCAAGGGTTCTTTAATAAAGAAAATGATTCTATATAGAACCATGAACACTCAAAGAACCCTTTGCATGATTAAAGGTTCTTTGTATTGTTCAAGCGTTCTTCAGATTGACGGAGAATGTGCTGTAGGTAGTTCTATATAGAACCTTTTTGAGAAGGGTTCTACATAGCACCAGAAGAGTTATTCTATTGTTACAATGTCAAGCCTGTAACAATAAAAGAACCCTTTTTGATGCTATATAGAACCATTTGAAAAAAGAGTTCTATATAGAACCATTTTCTTTACCAAAGAACCATCTTTGTGTCAGACGGTTGTTGCTGGTCTTTAATGTTTGCTCATCAAAACAACAGCAAAAAAAAAAACAAAAACGTGTAACTGCACCCCCAACATGTGAAAGCATGGGCTGTGCTTCGGCCCCCTTCCTTGAGTGGATGAATCTGCTGATTGAAAGAGAATTCAAAGAGAACTCAGTCTAAACTTGGTGAAGGACGCGACTTCTGAAGATTTGAGTGAATTATCTACTATTGTCATCATATCTTCATCAGTATAATGTTGATTTTTAGATAATTTGAGGTCTAAAGGTCGAGCCGGACCTTCTTTTTGAGTCTGTGTGTGATGTAAATACATAAAGACGTACAATGTGGTGTGAAAACGCTTGACGCCTCTGACTTTTATATGATAATTTGAGGCTTTACAGAGCGACTCGCAGCAGCACACACTCACTATATTTTGGCCTGTTTTTACTCTCTTCACTCAGTAATAACACTTCTTTCAGTTTAGCAACAAAATCTTACACTTCTTTTAGGTGATGAATCCTTGCAGATTCTACAGGTACTTTATACCAGCTCCGCTCACTGTTTATACATTTTGTAAATAGCACTGGATAAGCGAATCAACCACACAAATAAATAAAACATAAATTTAAAAAGTGGACTCACGTGGCGCGGCCCTGATGGTGAAGTATTTGCTGAACATGCTGTTGTCATATTGGCAGCAGTAGAGGTTTTCCTCCTCCACAGCGCCCCCCTGCACCCTAAACTCAGCCTGCGTCTGCTTCGTCTCTGACCTCACCACGTCCACCTGCTCCTGCACGCGGTACAGCTTGAAAAGCCGCCCGCCATGGCCTGCTGGGGCCCGGCACTGCAGCAGCACGACCGGACCGCTGACCTGCACCTGGACCAGCTCGGGAGCAGGGGGGCGAGCTGGGGTGATCGTCCACTCCAACAGCTGGATGACAACAACACAATAACACTTTACGGTACGTGTCCTCTTCCACACCAGAACTTTCTACTAGCCACTGGTGGGCATTTCGTTATGGAAGACTGTTAGAAATTAAGGTTCTGTGCAGGTATATTTTTCATTTATCAAGGTACAAACAGTGTAAATGTTCCATCAAAGGTACAACAGTGGTTTTAAGGTCCAATTGTGAAACTTAATAACTTTTTCCAGGTGAAAAGTACATATTTGTACCTTTTCATAACCTAATGTTTTAAAACAGAACAACAAAATATAAAGCCTGGAGACGAGACGGGGTGTGTGGAGTCAATACAACTTAGAAAATATAATTTCAATCGATTATGGTACAATCATGTTCACTGACTAAAGGCACTGATATGTACCCTTGAGGGTTCCAGCCCAATGACAAGAGGGGTACTGCCCCAGAGACAGTTTACTACCTTTATATCTGAGAGTGAGGGAACCGTACTGAACACACCTGGATCAGTAAATGATCCGTTACCATGTTTGCTGTCACAGAAGCTTCCAATGAGACTAAAATTTAGTCGTGTGCTTTTCATGATTTTCAGAATGCAGCAGCTGTCCACACAAGCTAGTGAGACTGAGCAAGCTAGCTAGCTAACCTTCTGGCTCTGAATGGTTTAAATTTTGTCTTCCAGCGCAAACTGTGTAAACTTTATCCTATCAAACATCTTCCCTCCAAATCTTCCCAGTCAAAGTTTTGAATAAAAGCAGATATTTTCATTTTTATGTTTATTATGTTTGCCGTTTGTGATGAAGGCCGGGCTACTGTTGCCTGATTATCTAAACGCAGTGAGGCAGCTACATTCATTTACAAGTTGAAATCTGCTGAACTTTTTCGCCACACAGAGAGGCAGATTTGCGGCTGCACCACAAATCATTATGCACTGCCCAATGTAGATGTGGCGAGGCAAAGTTGCGAGTGGACACATACCGATATAGAATATGTATGAATATACGTGGGTCAGACATGCCTGGTCTAATCAGTACTCAGTATCAGTAGTGCTAATCAATCAGCACTCAGTATCAGAAGTGCTAACCAATGAGCACTCAGTAATGCTAACCAATCAGCAATCAGTAACCCAGACCAATCAGCAATCAGTAGCAGTAACGCGAGCCAATCAGCACTCAGTTGCAGTAATGTTAACCAGCCAGCACTCGGTAGCAGTAACTGTTAGCGTTGTGGTGACCAAAACCTGTATACTGTAGTAAAACTGAGCCCGAGTTAGCAAGGCCACAAACTACTATATGGAGGCCACAATATATTCATTTGTATAAGCTGAGGCCATTAATTAATATATTGAGGCCATGAATTACTATATTGTGGCCACAAACTAATATATTGAGGCTACAAATTATTTTATTAAGTCCATGAATTAATATATTGAGGCTGTGAATTACTATGTTGAGGCCACAAAGTACTATATTCAGGCTATGAATTAATATATTGAGGCCACAAATTAATATAATGAAGCCAACAATTAATATATTGAGGCTACGAATTACCATACTGAGGCCACAAATGACTATATTGAGGCAACAAATTAATATATTGAGTTCACAAATTACAATATTGAGGCCATGAGTTGGGTTTCTTGTGGCCAAGTTGGCCTTAATATATGAATCCACGGCTACACGTTATTAAAAAATAATCACCATGTCACCTTAGGGGCTCTGTATTTATTATTGAATCACGTAAAATTCTGGGATAAAGCAGCTACATTGATCTTTGATGCTCAGTTTCATGATAATCAGAGTAACAGATAATCAGAGATCATCAGAGATAATTAGAGATGCTTCTGGCCTAAATTGGTTTAAACACCTGAAAGTTTTGAGTGCTGACATCACAACAGGGGGATAAAATGGGCGTGGCCTTTATTAAACCTGCACTGTCACTAAGATTAGCAGAAATATTTACAGGTGTGATATTGTTTTCCTCTAAATAAGCATGATATTTTTGTATTAAAAACATTTTGAAAAACCACTCACCACACATAAGCAGAACACGAGTGGAGAAAACGAGTAGAAATGTGAAGACTAATCCACGCATCCTTTAAAAACAGCAGAACGGGGAGCAGTAACGTTCTTCGCTGAGACTCCAACACCAGCGCAGTGTGTGAGTGAGAGAGGATGTGTGTGTGTGAGTGAGAGAGAACATCAAAGGCAAATTGTGAACAAAGACACCAACAAAGGCAGCGAGATGTTCTTCAGGCCCTCCCTCTGAGACCACACGGCCCTCTGTGAGGAAACTTCCTCTCCTCAATGACCACACGCTTGCTATGTCATCACTGATTTCCTCATCCACATCCTTCCATCACAACATCTCATATTAACATCCTGTTGCTCTACACAATACACCTCTCCATCCAACAGTACACCTCTCTATCCAACACTATACCCCTCCATCCAACAGTGCACCTCTCCATCCAACAGTACACCTCTCTATCCAGCAATACACCTGTCCATCCAACAGTACACCACTCTATCCATCAGTACACCCCTCCATCCAACAGTACACCTCTCTATCCAACACTATACCCCTCCATCCAACAGTACACCTCTCCATCCAACAGTACACCTCTCTATCCAGCAATACACCTCTCCATCCAACAGTACACCTCTCTATCCATCAATACACCCCTCTATCCAACAGTACACCTCTCCATCCAACAGTATACCTCTCCATAAAACAGTACACCTCTCCTTTCCAACAATATACCTCTCCATCCAACAGTACACCCCTCTATCCAACAATACACCTCTCCATCCAACAATCTACCTCTCCATCCAACAATACACCTCTCCATCCAACAGTACACCTCTTCATCCAACAGCACACCTTTCCATCCAACTGTACAGCTCCCCATCCATCCATCCATCCATTCATCATCCATCCATCCAACAATACAGCTCAGTGTCCAGCCATCCATCCTCCATCCATCCATCTGACAATCAAATCATTCATCCATCCATCCAACAATCCATCCATCCAGCAATCCATCCATCCATTGATCAGTCTATCCATGCTTCCTTTTTTCCAGCCATCTATTTTATCTGTAATATTGTATATAATATTACAAACTGACCATAATAAATAATAATAAAAATACTAAAACAACATGTTCAGCATTATATTATTTTACATCATATTATATTATGCTATATTATTTAATGAAATGAGCAGAAAGAAGAAAAAGAAAGAGTAAAAAGTAGAAAGACTCAGCTGAGTGTAAGACGCTGATGAAACTGATGATGGAGATGATGAAATGCTGGAATCCTCGGTTCTTTTTTCAAAGTAACTCTGATATTTAAATCAACTCCTCTCAAACGTTACACTCATTTCAAAACTACATTTAGAAACCCAAACCTCGAGAGCTCATTATCTCTAAGAGCTCAGAGAGTCTGAGTTAGTCCAGAGCTGTACTGCCCCCTACTGACCACCCTGACAGAAAAGTGTCCTGCTGAACATGCGGGTTAAAATAAACATATTTTCATTCTTACAGCATCAGATGACCAGACTGTTTTCACCTTCCTGTTTTCCACACTGCTACACTTCATTAAACACCCATGTCAGCCACGTGAAAGCCTACACTTCCCTAAACAAACAAACACACAGCTCTTATAAAGCTTTGGACACCCCTGGTCAAATTCCATATATTTGTTTTCTAAGTGAGAATAGGTTACACATACTCTACAGAGACACAATACTGCACACTTGTTGTTAATATCAACAACAACAACAATGATAATGTATTACTACCAGAAAACTTGTAGGCTTCACAAACACTCAAAAGAGTGTTCTCAAAGATGGCAAGTCCAAAATGAATGGGTTAATATTAAGCATTTGAGCAAAATCCTAGTTCATAAATGTTTAAACATAGTTAATATCTTACAAAATAGTTAATATCTTACAAAAGAATACATTTATTTCCTGAACACAGAGCACCATAAAACATTTTAACACTGCTATTATATTTTTAAGAGCTTTTAAACTCGAGTTATAGAAGTTTAAAACAGCGCCTCGTGTTTTCAAGACGTTAGTTCGCCAACCAATCAGCACTCAGTAGCAGTAATGTTAACCAAACAACACTCAGTAACAGTAATGCTAACCAATCTGCGCTCAGTAGCAGTAATACTAAACAAACAGCACTCAGTAGCAGTAATGCTAACCAATCAGCACTCAGTAGCAGTAATGTTAACCAATCAGCACTCAGTAGCAGTAATGTTAACCAAACAGCACTCAGTAACTGTAATGCTAACCAATCAGTGCTCAGTAGCAGTAATGCTAAACAATCAGCACTCGGTAGCAATAATGCTAACCACTCAGCACTCAGTAGCAGTAATGCTAAGCAATCAGCGCTCAGTAGTAGTAATGCTAACCAATCAGCATTCAGTAGCAGTAATGCTAACCAATCAGCACTCAGTAGCAATAATGCTAAACAATCAGCACTCATTAGCAGTAATGTTGGCCAGCCAGCACTCATTAGCAGTAATGCTAACCAATCAGCACTCAGTAGCAGTAATGCTAACCAATCAGCGCTCAATAGCAGCAATGTTAGTGTCCTGTTGCAACAAGCTTGACATCATCACAGTAGAAGAACCCTTTTGGTGCTATATAGAACCAACACATTCTCTATCAGAACCACTTCGCCATGCAGAGAACTACTTAAGCATGCAAATGGTTATTTGAGTGTTCATGGTTCTAAATAGAAGAAAAATGCTGTCTTGCCAAGTAAAATAATCCTAAATATCTTACACTTATCAACTTAAATGGTCGATAAATCTAATATTACGTTGAGATTGCTGTAAGCTTAATTTAAGCTTATTTACTTTATTTCTAGACATTTTTTACTTCTTTTCAGTAATGTAAACACGTAAATCTAAAATGTAAAATTATCTCACTATATTGGCAGATAATTGTGCTTATTTTAAGAAATCTGCTTAAAACCAGCAAAATTTCATCATTTGACTTCATAAAATGACCTAAAACAAGTAAATAATATCTAGACATGAGCTAGATAATCTTATAATCAGTGCACAACCATCTCAAAATGGGAAATAGTAGATATATCGACTAGATTTAAGATCATTTCACTTCACAAGATGTCATTTTTCCAGTGAAAAGGCAGTGTGGAGGAATACTGTAACTCCAGCTCCTCAAAAAGGTTCTGGTCAGTCGGCCTGGCCCTGTGTGCCCACATCAGCACTGTAAAGTGTAGTTTAAGAGGGACACTAACTATTCAACAGTATGTGGTGTGTGTGTGTTTATCTGTGAGGCAGAGAGAGTGTAGCGCTCAGTGTGTGTTATCTGCGTCAGGGCAGAAGGTCAAACACCGGCCTAACGGCGCTGATAACCTCCCCCTCATAATCACCTCCGCAGCACACAGCTTCTCAGAACTGACCTCCAGAATACTGCGAAACACTACGGCATAACCCTAACTCTGACACTAACACTGTTGGATGACCTTAACACTATTTCTTGACCCTACTATGGGCTTCAACATGGCTTCTTGACCATTTCATTGGCTCAAATGCTGCTTCTAGACCCCACACTCTTAAAAATGATGGTCCTTCAAGGGTTCTGTAGTGAAGAACATGGTTCTATATGGAACCATGAACACTCAAAGAACCCTTTGCATGATCAAAGGGTTCTTTGCATCGTAAAAGTGTTCTTCATATTGACAGAGAATGTATTGTATATGGTTCTATATAGAACCTTTTTGAAAATGTTCTTTATAGCACCAAAAAGGGTTCTTCTATTTGTGAAGATGTTAAGCTTGTAACAACAGCAGAACCCTTTTTGGTCCTATATAGAACCCTTATTAAAAATATACAGTCAGTCTGAAGAACGCTGTCATGCAAAAATGATGCAAAAAACCCTTTAATCATGCATCATGGTTCTTTGAGTGTTCTTGGTTCTATATAGAAGCCTTTTCGCTACTAAAGAAGTCTTGAAGGACCATTGTTCTGGCTCTAACACTATGGCTTGACAATACCATTGGCGCTACTTGACACTATTATTTGTTCTAACACTACCGTACTGTGCTGGACACCGTCCCTCCAGGGCTGGAGTTCACTTTACCATTGACTGTAATTTTGCTTCTTAAACTTACAAATAGACTCTAACACTGTTTCTTGACCATACCATTGGGTCTAAAGTCATTTCTTGACCCTACCATTGGCTTTAACAGTGTGCCTTGACAATACCATTGGCTCTAACACTGATTCTTGATCCTACCACTGGCTCGAATTCTGCCTCTAGACCAAACCACTGGCTCTAAAACTATGGCTTGACCATACCTTTGCCTCTAACAGTGCTTCTTGATCATACCATTGACTCTAATGCTGCTACTTGACCCTAGCATTGGCTCTAACACTATAGCTTGATAAATTGATTTAAAACTATAGATTGATTTAAAACTGTTAACTGATTTTACTATTGGGTCTAACACTGCTTCTTGACCATACCATTGCTTCAAATGCTGTTTCTAGACCCTACCATAGTCTATATCACTGTTTCTAGACCCAACCATTGGCTCTATCATTATAGCTTAACCCTGCCATTGGCTCTAATGCTGCTTCCATCACTTGTTAGCTAAATTAGCCTCAAAGCTTTGGTGCTAAAACTAAAGAAGAAAACTTTTGACACCAAATAAAGTTGTGATGTACTAGAGGAGCAATTGGTGAAGTTTGTGAATTATCTGTTGGTTGTAAACTGTTGGCTCTCAGACATCTAACGTCCACAAAGTCTGAACAGTCATCCCACTCACACAGTGCAGCCCCGCCCTTTAGGACACAACTGCCTGAAAGCAGAGGGTCTTAGAGTCAGCGCTACAGCTGAGAGAGAGAGAGAGAGAGAGTAACTGTACAGCAACTGTGAGGTGTGAAGTGTGAACCGACCTGTTTGTGTGTGTAATTTTAGAAACACTAGTAAATAAGTTGATGTATCGTTACTGTGTCAGGTGTTACTTTTTGAAGGACCAAACAAACCCTAAACCTCCTCACTCTGTAAGGCTCCTGAAAGTGGCTGTGTTTTCGGCAGTGTTGGCGGATGGCTGTAACTCAGGCTGTACTGCCCTCATTCAGCTCATTCTCAAACTTCAACAATTCTACAGACAACATGACGGTAAGAATGCTTTTAATAATAATAATGATAATAATAATCCTAATTAAAATGCAGCTTAAACTGCTCTGCAGAATAACAAAATACATGAGAGAAAAAAAATTAAAAATAAGGAACTGCAATTGAGCAAAAGATATATTGCTAATACTACTATTACTAATTATTATTACTACTCACGACTTACTAATTACTATTATTACTACTACTACAGCTACTTATTATTATTATTATTATTATTATAATAATAATATTATATTATAATATTATTATAATAATTATATTATTAATAATAATAATATTATAATATTATGATAATATTATTTGTAATATTATTATAATAATAATATTACAAATAATAATTATAATATTTTAAGTAATATGCACAGAAATATTTTCTTGTAGAATCATAAGCACCAAATTAATCAAAATGAAAAATGATATAAAGTCTTGAGCCCAACAAGTTAGTAATGTAGTCTCCATTCAGAAAAAACCTGTGTGTGTAGAGTGGGGGGTGGGGGGTGTGTGTGCTGTAATGAGATAATGAGATAGCACAATTACAGCGCAAATGCAACAAACATATTAGCACTATGAGCTCTGAGTGAAGACTGAATGATATATATATTGAACTGCTGTAAATCTGGAAAAAACATTCTCTACATTGAAGCCCATTAGATTTTGGTCTTTAGTAGACCACCCATGGTAAGTATATATATATAATATATATATATATATATATATATATATATACACACACACACACACACACACACACACATATATATATATATATATATATATATATATTCATTCCTGTAGATTTCAGTTCTGTACATTTCAATATACCTGTTTTAACAGTGAGCTGCAGCTCAGTGTCAGCAACAGTGAACAGCTTCTAATTTATTCTTTAATCACTCTTCCTCAGAGTTCATTTACGTGGCTAAACAAAATGACACAAAGCTAAATGTAATTGAATACTAGTGACCAAATAAGTCAAATTTACTCCACCAAGAGTAGCCGATCAGCCAAGACATGTTTAATGCCTGAAGTTTGCTGCAGCAGTTTCAGTGCTGGAGCTATGAGGCTAATGTAGCTAACAAGTAATAGAAGCTTATGTATTAACATCATTTATGCTAAGTGCATCTAAGTCATCACATGCTCACTTCAAAGCGTGTGGAGTTGTTCAGTATGTCTAGTAGACTTGATTATGTGGTTTCTGATACTGTATGTCTCACTGTCATCTACAGACATGGACTAAAGTACATCAGCATAGCTAAAAACAATACATTTTAGCTTATTATCTACATAAGCCTTGGCTACATTTTGGGGTAAGTTGGGAACATTGCGTAAATCTGATTTTAGGCCAAACTCTCACGTTAACGGTATTTTTGTTTTTCCCTTCCCTCCAAAAGATGTGGAAGTTTGAGGACTGCCCCATGAGTAGCCTCCACTCTCCAGCTGAGAGAAGCGTGTCTGTGAGTGCCGACCACACAGACGCCTCCCAGCACCTGAGACACCAACACCATGGCCAGGACACTGAAGCATGCTGGGATATGGAGCTTTTGCTGTCAGAGTGGGGCAGTACGTCTCCGGACCAGACCGGTGCTCAGAACTACACTTCCCAGCATCCTCTGCTGCAGGACGGAGGCGGGCAGAGAGGTCAAGCCAGGCTGGACATCCAGCAGGTCAATCAGTCAAGCTCTCTGGTGGATCTTCTGTCCAATGAGTGCATGACCTCATCTCTGCCCACATCCCTCTATGGTGCTGCCTACAGCACAGAGCATCATGGGAAAGGTGTCCAGAACCTCCCCCTTTCCCATGTGCCCAGCTTCCATCACCAAAGTGACTGCAAAGTAAGGTCATGGGAGTTTGGGCACCACTACCCCCACCTGCCCCACTTTTCTGAGGGGGCAGAGCCTCTGGAGCCGCTGGCCCCGCCCCCACATTATCAGTACAACTTCGTCCAGAGCCATGCGCACACCAGGCCCTACCTGCCCCAGACCGGATATGCCCACTTTCCTCCCTCCCACACGCACAACCCTAGTGTTTTCGCAGACTCCACAGCACCCCCTGCAGCAGTGGAGGTAAAGCGCAGCCGCAGGACAGCGGGCAGGAGGAGGGCAGCTATGCACTGCTGCAGTTACCCCGGCTGCACCAAAACATACACCAAGAGCTCACACCTTAAAGCACACCTGCGCACACACACAGGTGAGTGTGGGTCATGACAAAAACACATGAAACTGTTGAATATTACAACTTTAGAGTCTGTTAAACAATACATACCATGATCTCCGTCATCTAGAACCAGAGTTGACCAGTTGTAAATACGACTTTGTCCGCTGTTGAAGCACAATGTACAAGTTGGAAAATTGGTACTTCCTAGTTTCTGACACCACTCAAACTTAGCATACCAATATCTAGACATGTGTATGTGTACTGAGGTACTCGGCCATCTGAGGAGTCAGTATTTTATTGAAATCACTAACAGTGTACGTTCTGTTTAATTATGAGTGGATAGAGGAAATATAGTGACTAACAATTCTGTTAGACGCCAATCTTATGTTTGAAAAGGACTGTAAAATGGGCTGTACTAAGTTAGACAGAGATAGCGTGGCTTTATAGCTAACTAGGCTAACTACAGCGAAACTATAGTTTTCTGACAAACTAATATGTTCCCTGCTTATAAAATATGAATAAATAACAGAATAGATTAGTATGGCTACAAAACCAGCATATGTTGTGATTCAGATGCTGATATGCTGGTCAACCAGCATGAAACATACAGAGTGACAAGCTAAACCAGAAGTCAACTAGCTAAACCAGCACAAGATCGGCACTAGACCTTACGGAGCACCGTCTGATTTTGATTTGGGGCATTATGAGGAAACTGCAGCTCGTCTTCACAGCAAACGGCCCTCAGATTCATCAGTGCAGCTGCAGTTTGGTGGTGAAATGAAAGAAGACAACAAACTACAACCACAATCTTCACTAAACTGCACTGTCTAATGATCATATTTAACAGAGATGTAGACACTTAGCGCTGTTTCTGCTCCCGCAACAAGCTGCGGTGTTAGAGATCATCACACAATTACAGGAAGAAATTATCAATAAATTAAACACACACAGAAACATTCATGTGGGATGAGGTCAAATGGCGAGAGAGTTTAACAGATCTATGGATTAGATGTAGATATATTAATGTGAGGATGTTGAAACGCTGATCATTTCTTCCTGTAATTGTATGATGGTCTCTAACACCGCAGCTTGACGCGGGAGCAGAAACACCATGGTCCGTTCGCTGTGAAGAGGAGCTGCAGTTTCCTCATAATGAGCATCTCTGTTCATTATCTCATCAATCTAACACGTCAAAACCCGTCAGACAGTCTCAGGGAGCTGTCATCAAAGTACAAACAACGTGCGTTCAATTAAAAATAAAACATGACCATGGTTAAGAGAAAACGAGAGAACGAATTGGAAAATCGTGATCACAAATAATAAAAAAAACGAACCCACGAAGTAAAGAAAACGTGCGCACGATTAAAAGAAAACGAGGGAACGATTTAAGAAATCGTGACCATGAATAAGAGAAAACGTGCGTACGAACTACAAAACGTTCGCTCGAATTATTTATTTTTTTTTACCTCCGCCCCCTCCGGGGCTCCGTAAGACCTGCATAAATCAGCTTAGACCAGCATGGAATACATGCTAGACTGTGCTGTTTTTTTCAGCAGGGTTGGCACATCGTCCACTGAGGATAAAATAGGAGGAAAGATGTTGAGTATTCATTAGCATCCTGTGCTGTACTGGTTAGCTCTGTTAGCATGTTAGCTCATCTAAAGCAGCTCCTCAGAAAACACATTTTCAAATGTATTCATAGCAACGTACTGCTAATTTTTTGTGTAACACCAATGCTATCACCAAAAAAGGTAAGCCTCAGCCTTTTTTTTTTGAGCCAGGATTAGCTAAACATGATGTTCCGCCTCGGCATAATTTCTGATCCAGCTCTTCATCTACATATCGAGTTGTCTGTGAGGTTGATCAGGTTTTCTGAAACTGTTTAAGGTCTGTTGGAGAAGCACACAAATCAAGAACCTCTTTAGAGTGACCAAACAAAGTTAGAACGGAAAAGTTCGCCAACATTGGTTAGCTAATATTACTTATTAACACTTACATTAGCTAGCTGAACACTGTGCTTTGTCCTGTTGAAGATGAGAGCCAATGCTAGCTAGCAGACATTGGCTATTAGCGCTAACATTAGCTGGCTAAACACAACATTCTGTCCTGTTGACGACAGGTAGAGCCAATGTTAGCTAACGGTCGTTAATGATGCTATTGCTATTGCTATTCTATGTGTTGCGACAGCTAGCTAATATTAACATATAGCTCAACATAGCCTCAATTACTGTAAACATTGTAGTGTATTTGTTAAATCAACCTCAAAGCTTAAGACAGAATTCTTGTAGAAGAATTTCTACCTTTTCACAGCATTGTGGAGGAGCAGCATCCAACTTGTTATATCACATCTGAGAATGTAAACTTCAATAAATTTTTTAAGAAGCTCATGAAACATAGTTTTGTGTTAGCTTCTGTTTTACTGGAAGATACATCACCCGACAAGCATATAACCAGATATTAAAGGCTAATTCATGGTACTTTATTGACATTGAAAAAAATTAACATTTGTATTGCCAAACCTTTAAAAGTTTAAGAAAATTTTAGGGCATATATTCTATATTTTGCATTTATTTTCCCCCTGAGGTCCAGCTATAACATTTGTGTGATTTTATATACAAAACAATTCTATTTCTTTTTTATATGATCATATTCCAACCTCTTTTAACCTTAGAATTAAACAAGCTCTGATCAAGGCTGATATGTGTAAATGAGCTCTGTTTTGGCTCCAATAACATCAGTGTAAATGGGCGCTTCAGGCTAAACAGGTAGATATATGCAAAAGTTTTGGTTTGCGTGACATCACAAAAGCTAAATAAAAAAAAACAAGCTTTATTTTCCATGTGGGATGTCTGGACTGGTTTAAACTTTAACCAGTTTTAACCACTTTAATTCTTAAAAAAGTAAAGAAATGTTTTTCCATGATGTTGGCCCTTTAAAGGAAAATGGAGTTGGACATTTTAGAGTCTATGAAAAGTGATAATAACAACTCTTTCTCTTTCTCTCTCTCTCTCTCTCTCTCTCTCTCTCTCTCTCTCTCTCTCCTCTCACTCTCACTCTCACTCTCACTCTCTGTGCCTGCGTGTAGGTGAGAAGCCGTACAGCTGTAGCTGGGATGGATGTGGATGGAAGTTCGCCCGCTCTGATGAACTGACGCGTCACTACCGTAAACACACCGGCCTGAAGCCGTATGAGTGTGTTCTGTGCCAGCGGGCCTTCAGTCGCTCAGACCACCTCGCACTGCACATGAAGAGACATGCCTGATACAGAAACACACAACGCATGCACAACGTACACACAACACATCCACACTTTACCAGGGCTGGGAAAAATCAATAAATTATATTTTTTATTATTTGAAACCACTGGTATATAATAGGGAAATCCAATAATTCAAAATGTCTACATGAACCTACACATGTCTTCTGAGTTTTATATGGAATGTTGATGATGGGAAAATAGTGGAAAATCTGAAATAATAAGTTTTCTTTGGGGACTATTTTGCCTCACAGCGCATGTATCCCTCCACCATCAATGGATTTTAAGTTCTCAAAACTATCATAAAACAATGTCTCAGACATAAGGCAGTGTATTCATAACCATTTCATGCTATTACTTTCTGTGAGGGAGCTCTTAAAGGTGGACATCTGGCTCCTATCACCACCAATAAGAGACTGGAGCTTCAGACCAAAGAAAGAAAAAAACAACAAAAAAAAATTAATCAACTTATCAATTTAATGGCCGTTAACATTAATAATCGATACATATGTAAGTGGTCCCAGCCCTGTTGGAGAAAAAGTTTGTCAGAAAAGCTACACAATGTTCCTCTTTTCACAGATGTAATAAATTAGCAAAGACGTGTGTGGAGTCCAAACTGAGCGCTACAACACGAACGCAGCTAACAAACAGTAGAAGTCAATAGTCACCAAAATCTTTTCCTGTAAATACATCCCCAAAACATCTCTCAGCCACTCAACCCACATCCTGGTCTTCAATAAAACAGCACAGACTTGTAGATTTTAGTTTAGGACACAGTATGAGACTTAAGACAGCAGGTGTTGTGCTGATTTCTGACTCCTAGCAGAATCCGAGACCCCTTCATGTTCACACACTTTACATAGGCATATGGACACTAGACTACGTTCCTGATTTTTTATAAATAACTGTTTAATCTTCATTTTCCTAACTGAATATATGCATTTATAAAAATACACACAACAGAAATTGTGAATGTAATCTAGTGTGATGTGCATGAACATGAAGGGCGTTGGATTCTGCACAACACCTGCTGTTGTAAAGTGTCTAAAGAGCTATACCGTAAAGTTTTGTTCATATTTATAGTTCATGTGTAAGTCATAAACAAGTCTGCGCCACCTTAACGGAGACCTGGATGTGGTTTGAGCAAGCTGAGACAACATTTGGGGATGTATTTACACAAAAGATTTGGGTGACTATTGACCTATAGTGTTGGCAGCATTAGCTTCGTAGCTCCAGTTCTAAACTAAAGAAGCAAAATGTGGTCAGCAAACGTGTTTCTGCTCATTGACTACATCTGTAGTCAGTGGAATATTGTGTAATTTTGAATTTTGGCCAAACTATTTCTATAATATACCTAATAAACGTCTACATACACACTATATACACACACACACACACAGATAAAACTGACATGTATATAACAGAGAATAAACAATGCACATCTAGCAACATTAATTCATTTCCTCAGAGGACTCTAAAGTCTATAGTTTTGGTCTTATTTTGAGTTTAAAACACAACTGACTGCATCCAGTACAGTAACTGCTGTAAATTAGAGCGTCTGGACTTTCCTGAAGTTCCTCACCAGTTTGTTGGTGCAGCAGAGGGAGCTGTAGGGCAGAGGAAACGGTATGAAAAAGAGAGAGAGAGAGAGAGAGAGAGAGAGAGAGAAAGAAAGAGAGAACACAACACCGTCACATCCCTCAAGCCGAAATACACGGCAGCTGAAAGCTAAAGACTCAGCGCTGAACTCTGTACACTGCAGTGGGCTGCCGGGTGGAATAGAGGTTATAAAATCTTCCCCATTGCTGTAATATTCCACAGAGTGACCCAAACATCTGACTCAACACACACTCAATGTGAACTTCTCAAAATGCATTTCTGTTTTGTCCCAGTTTCAGTTTAATAAGAATGTCCTGAATGTTATTGTGAATAAATACAGCCTACATGTGTAACTATTTATGGGATTAAAGATATAATTATGGAAAAGAAAGAAAAAAAGTTTATTGCATACTTTTGTAGATGTTTTTTGTTATTTGTATAACATCTTACCACCTTTTGTACATTTTGCATTTATTTCCATATTTATATAAACTGCCTTCATAATAAAGTGACAACAGGCTTCGAAAAAAGTGCAGTTCTCATTTTTCATCAATAGAGGGCAACAGAGGAGAAAAATATTCAACTCAACACAACAGACAAAAGAACTCACGGAAAAGTCAACAACCTCAATAAACAAAACTATTGACAAAAAACAAGTAAACAACACAATCACTACAACAAACAGAACTCAGAAAAAAGTTCAACAAAACAATGTCACAAACAAAACAACTTCAGCAAACATAACAACTTCAACAAACAAAACAATTACAACAAACACAACATAGACAAACAAAGCAACTTCCAAAAACAAAACATCATCAGCAAACAAAACAATCCATTATCTAAAAAAAATCATAAACAAAATCATAAACAAACCACTACAAACAAAACAACTTCAATGAACAAAACAACTACTTTCACAGACAAAACATCATACACACACAAAATAACCTCAAAAAATAAAACAACTTCATCACATAAAACATCAACAAACAAAACAGCATTAAAAAAGGCAACTTTAAAAAACAAAACATTATAAACACACAAAACAACCACTGCAACAAACAAAACAAATGCTTTCACAAACAAAACATCATAAACAAACAAAACAACTACTTTCACAAACAACTTCAACAAAAACACTTCAACAAAATAACATACAAACATAGAATTTCAACAAACAAAACATAAAACATAAACAAACAACGCAACTTCGAAAAACAAACTCATAAAAACAAATCACTATAGCAAATAAAATGGCTATTTAATCCAAACAAAACCATAAACAAAGCAACTTCAATGAACAAAACAACTACTTTCACAGACAAAACATCATACACAAACAAAACAACCTTAGTAAATAAAGCAACTTCAACAAATAAAACATCCAAAAACAAAACAACATAAACAAAGCAACTTCAAAAGACAAAACATTATAAACACACAAAACAACTAATACAACAAACAAAACATAAACAAACAAAACAGCCCAAACAAGCCCAAACAAAAACTACTTTCACAAACAAAACAACTTAAACAACCAAAACAACTATCACAAAATAAAACAACCACAAACAAAACAACTTCAGCAAAATAACATGAACAAACAAAATAACAATTACAACAAACAAAACAAAATGACAATTACAACAAACAAAACAACAAAAACAAATGAAACACAGCAAAAGATATATATTTATTTTTAATATTACTTAAGCTTGTAATATGAAAAACATAATTAATTCTACATGATCAGACTTTAAGACTGATATATGAAATGAGCTCTGTTCTGATTGGCTGTTATCACAGAAACAGTGAATTCAAACGAGCATATTTGCAGTTCAGTTTCTTTACATTAACAGTATGGACTGTGGAGTGAACGATACCTTTTCAAATATTAGCAGTGTTTACATACAACATCAAACTCTTTTATTGCAAAAAGATCATTGTGTTCTCCAAGATATTTTTATAAACAACAGCTTCAGCAAGTAATAGTGATTCTTCAGTCCATAAACTCTTCTACAATAATACTAATTGCTGCTAGCACACTTATGGGACTCTAGTAGCATGTTAGCTCTAATGTTACAGTGATTCACATGAACATTTCTGGCTGTTTTAAATTAAACACAGACATTTGAAGCTTATAAAACACATTAACACATATTTGAGCTTGTATGTATCAGTGTTACAATGAGCGTGTTTACATGTAGTTAATAATCCGAACATTATCAGATTTCTGCAGTTATCTGATTATTAAGCGGCCATGTAAACACACACTCTGATTTCTTAGATCAGATTAAGGTCTATAAATCTGATTAAGAAATCTAATAAAGAGGCTGGATTTGAGATCAGTAATGGGGTTTTTCAGTGGATGTAAACCCCTCACTCTGATTTCTTTGGTTTCTCTCAGTCTACACATGTGTGAAAACAGAGCGCTGTCCCAAAAACAGCAAGCAGTGTTTAACACAGCACCTGTGAGATGCAGCACAGCACTTTTGAAGCGACGCTGAAACTGACTACCTGCTCAAATGAAGGATTTAAATGTTCTTCATCTTCTAAATGATGTATGTTCATATTTTCCGCTAAAGGGACTCGATGTTTTAAAAAAAGCTGCTTATGACATTTGAGTTCTACGTTACATTTACCTCACGTCTTATTCTGTGAGTTTATTGGCCAGTTGACCTCAGGATCAATGCTGATGCACAAAATCCTTCTATTCTGGTTTTATTAGATCTTAGCACAGCTTTTGATACTGTTGACCACAAGATTTTAATCCAGCGTCTTGAATACTGGTTCAGCCTCTCGGGCGCAGTTTTAGAATGGTTTAAATTATATTTAGGTAATAGGCAGTTCATGGTTTCAGTGGGAAATCGTTCATCAAAAAGATTATTAAGTGTAAACACACTGAACCAGTTACTGACACAATATGATTTTCTGCAGTCATCAGATTATTAAGTGTAAACGCACTGAACCAGTTACTGACACGATCTGATTTTCTGCACTCATCAGATTATTAAGTGTAAACACACTGAACCAGTTACTGACACAATATGATTTTCTGCACTCATCAGTTTATTAAGTGTAAACACACTGAACCAGATACTGACACAATATGCTTTTCTGCACTCATCAGATTATTAAGTGTAAACGCACTGAACCAGTTACTGACACAATATGATTTTCTGCACTCATCAGATTATTAAGTGTAAACGCACTGAGCCAGTACCTGACACAATATGATTTTCCGCAGTTATCAGATTATTAAGTGTAAGTGCACTGAACCAGTTACTGACACAATCTGATTTTCCGCAGTTATCAGATTATTAAGTGTAAGTGCACTGAACCAGTTACTGACACAATATGATTTTCTGCAGTTATCAGATTATTAAGTGTATGTAAACACATTCAGTGACACTTTCAGTGAAGAGCTGCTGCTGCTGTTTTCCATTCCTATCAATTAACCGGAACCAGTTTAGACTATAGGCTCATATTCACAGTCAGTGACATAACCTGCAGAAATGACATTTTTCTGATGAAACTGTAAACATAAGAGTGATTTTTTCCTAATTATGTTGGTAGTTAATCTAGCCTAACAGTCGAGCTCCTGAAGTCCTAACCAATGAGAAAGCTTGCTCAGCTGTGTCTACCTAGATACCAATCAAGAGACCATTCCTGATCGGATCATTTCCTGTTGGATTTTTTTTAAAAATGTAACCCTTTTGTTGCCAACCAACATTAAACAATAAAATACTGACAGAGTTTAAATGCAACAATAAAGACGATTACATTAAATAAAAATGAACTAAAGAATGCAGACATGCTTTTTTATGTCCCAGAAATGATTAAGCCTTCACTGAAGCCCTGATGGTTACTTTTAATTTATTAATATGTATTATACATAAAATGTATTAAATCAAATCAAACAAAAAAGAATAAAAATATAGCAGAAATAAAAATGAAAGAAAAAGTCATAAAAATGTTACCACTGAAATAAATTATCTGCATAATTGTTACATTACATAATTATATATTTTAGCTAATAAGTGTTATACAATCATTGTACAGAATTAAAAACATAAAAATAAATTACATTGAAAAATATTTAAATGTATAAAACAGGTGAATGAAGACATGGAGGGATTTCAGCAGTCTGTGTGTGTGTATGTCGGGGGGGTGAGTCTGTAGGTAGGGGGGCGGATGGGGGTCAGACAATAGCGGCTCTACAGGGTGTTTGCATGCCTCCACTGCTTCCTGCTTCATAATCCACTGAGTCGGTACGGAGACAGGGGTGGGGGTGGGAGGGTTGCTAGGCAGGCAGCATAACGGTTGCCTAGGAAACCCTAACAGACACAGAGGGAGCAAATGGGGGTGAACAGAGGGGGGGAGGAGACGAGGAGGGGGAGGGGAGGGGGTCAAGTTCAAAACCAGTCAGCTGTAGACTCAGACAGAGTGGTTGTTGGGGGGGGGTGTTTAGGATCTAACTGGAACAAAGCGACCCTCCCCCACCACCACCACCCCTCCCCCAAACCGATCACACAGTGGGGCCGTGAGGTAACAGAGTTCAACAGACAGTCAGACACTACAGAGACCTGACATCACCATACAAGACAAACCTGTCTGTCTGTCCACCGGCCTGTCTGCCTTTCTGTCTGTCCATCTGTCTGTCTGTTTACTCATCTGTCTTTCTGTTAATTTGCCTGTCTGCCCCTTTTCTGTCTGTCTCTATCTGTGTCCATTCGTCTGTCTCTGTCCACCCATCAGTCTACTTCCCTGTCTGTCCACTCATCTGTCTGCCTGTCAACTTATCTGTCTATCCAGCTGTCTGTCTCTGTCTGTCCCTCTCTTTCTCCTTCTGTCAGTCCACTCATCTGTCTGTCTTTCTGTCTGTATTTCTCCATTCTTAAGTTTGTCTGTCTCTCTGTGCATTAATCTGCCTGTCTGTCTCCCTCTGTTTGCCTCTGTCCATCCACTCATCTGTCTGTCTTTCTGTCCATCGGTCTGCCTTTTTGTCTCTCTGTCCATCTGCCTGTCTCTGTTTATCTGTCTGCCTTTCTCACTGTATATTTTTCAGTTTCTTGGTCCACCTGTCTGTTCCTCTATCCGTCTGTCTTTCTGTCTGTCCATTTGTGTCTGTGACGTAAAATCGGGCTGTCCTTTTATGAGTGATTGTCAAACAGGTGTGAAATTAGTCATTAAAATCAGAATCCAAATCAAAACTATTCAGTGAGATTTCACTGATAATGAACTTCGTTGTGGCTGCAGCTCCAATTGAATATAGTAATAAGTAAATAAACAGAGTAGAACAGCAAAGAGGAAATGAATATCTGCAGGTGAGCAGAACGCAAGAACCTTCAGAAACAAACAGATGGGCAGACAGACAACAACAACAAACAGCATCTCTCCATCTGTCTATGTGACCTGAAGCAGGTGGTATAACCTTACGGCTGAGTGGCTTTAGTCCTTCTGATCTCATATATGAGTAAATCAAAGAATCTACAGTCTCTACATCAGACTTCAAAAGTAATAATAA